GTCAGTGCTTCAGAGCTTGCAAGCGCCATGGTTGTGACGTCGGGACCGAAGCTGCTGGTGTGCAGGGCTGCCACGCCGGTGAGTTGTGTGTGAACTGAGATCCGGTCGTGGGCTGCGTGGACCAGGTCGGGATGATGCCGTCGAGTGGTGCCAAGAATCCAGGAAGCGCCGTTGATGCTGCTGTGATGGACCTTGGTGTTGGCTGGCTTGCTGCTGAAGTGGCTGTGCTGATGAGGGATGAGAAGCTGATGATGAAGGGTGAGAGGCCGTTGATGAAGAGTGATGGCTGCGTTGTGATGCTGAAGGTTGCTGATGTTCTGTCGGGGTCACCACTTTAGGAACCGTATGATTGAATATGTGGGGTCCCTATTGTGGTGACGGAGACAACTGGCCAGGGAGACTAAAGGATAATTGTCTCCCTCCGAGCTAGGTGTTATTAGCCCGGGGACCGCGGTCCAACCGATGTAGGTTGGACGTTCTATTTATGCTAATTAGTAATTAAACTTATTCTGTGCGATGTAGGTTTCTTTGCTCTAAATGCCTTGTAGTTATTAATTTATGCTGCTTGTATTGGTACAGCGCCATCTCGTTACTTGCTGTTGAAACTTATTGCAGTTCGTCTTGCTATCGATGGCTGTGACGATGCTAGTCTTCTCGCTATCGATTGTTGTGGCGATGTTACTGCGATGAATTAGATGTCGCTATGTATCTGGCCAGTTGTCTCCATCACCACAATAGGGACCCCAACCTCCAACCTTACGGTTCCTAAAGTGGTGACCCCTCCGAGCTAGGTGTTGTTAGCCCGGGGACCGCGGTCCAACCGATGTAGGTTGGACGTTCTATTTATGCTAATTAGTAATTAAACTTATTCTGTGCGATGTAGGTTTCTTTGCTCTAAATGCCTTGTAGTTATTAATTTATGCTGCTTGTATTGGTACAGCGCCATCTCGTTACTTGCTGTTGAAACTTATTGCAGTTCGTCTTGCTATCGATGGCTGTGACGATGCTAGTCTTCTCGCTATCGATTGTTGTGGCGATGTTACTGCGATGAATTAGATGTCGCTATGTATCAGTCGCCACAAAAGATTATTATTTGCTGTTTTGTAGGTCCTAGACGGAAAGCATATCGGAAGTTCTTGAGTCCGGCATTCCATTTCAACATTTTGCAACAGTTCCTACCAATATTTTGTAAGAATGCAAACGTATTGGTGGAGCAACTGCGTAATATTGCCGTAAAAGATTCTTCTACAGACTTGTTTCCTATCATAGCTGTGGCTGCCCTTGACAATGTAACTGGTAGGTGTAAAGTGCAAATCCAAAATCCTATCTTACCTTCGTTTTATATTTATTAAACGACACCAATAAAATTTTAATAGTTTTCGTTTAAACATATAGTTAACTTTTTCAAACATATAGTTGTCATTGATTTTTTTTTATGTGAGGAGTAATAGACAAAATGTTTTTATGTCGTATTCTTTTCAGAAAAGTTGTCATAATAGAAAAGATAGGCTACATTTCTTAAATTGCCCTAAGATAAAGACGAATCTCAGTAAGGTTAAGTTAAATAAGTTAAATGTGGACAAACATATGGATAGATTTTCATATCAAATAATACAACCAATTAGTAATAATAATAATAAGAAGGTTAGGAAATTATAGGATAAAGGTAGTTCATGCTAATAATATTAAACCCTATAGAATTTGAAGAAATAGGTATTAAGTTAATGTATTTTCATTATTATAATAATAATTCTTATTTGTTATTAATAGTTAGGTGATAGATATTTTAAAGTAATATAATTTTTTAAGTTTTCTAAGTCATATCATGATAATGTTGAAATTGTAATTTTAATTTATTTTTCTTTATTTAAGAACTATGACAAGTTTGATTCTTTGTTCAAGTTTAGTGTGATAGTGAGATTATTTTGTATAGTAATTTTAATCCAATATGTGTTTAACATATATTATCATGTGAAATATAAATGTTTTATTATTGTTTATTAATTGTAAATTTTTTAAAAGATTTTTGTTAATATTGTTTAATTGTTTTATGTTCCTACTTCATGTGCAGGATTCCCGTAAGATTATGATGAAGCTGGCGCGTATCCTGACGTCAGCAATACGGTGGGTCTACTATGAAGCATCTATGTTGATAAGTCGACAGACACCCACTTCATATGCGCGTCGTCATTATTATTGTGTCGCGCGTAGTTTTTATACATGGGCATTGCGAGGGTCGGGGGACCCATCTAGTTCCATAGGAATTAGGTTTCGTCTTGTTTGATGCTGGACGTCCTTAGGCTCCATATGGCATGTAACGTTCGAGCACATTACTATAGGCAGGTATATAATAATTTAAATTAATATTTTTTGTCGTATCCGAATTCGCATGTTCTTTTTTTGCTGGTTATCAATCTTTCTTTCTGATCGAGAAGAGAGAGTATCATAGTATTGCGTTTTAAGTGTTTCTATGTATGTTTTTCGCAAATAAATCAAGACTGAAGGATTCTACCAGTTTTTCATTGCGCCACCCATCTCCACCATTAGAATTAAGTTACTAGAGTACATTGGCGAACATAATGCCTTAGGCATTAAGCAACCGGGTAGGTGATGGGTGGGATGTGGAGATAAAAGTTGGTAGAGTGAGACTTCCGTTTTATAGTTAAAGTGGACAAAGGCGATGAGATAATTGGTAAGGTGAATTTATATTCAATATTTGATGGCACGAAATAAAAAAAAAAGACTATAGATTTTCGGCAATACAAATTGGCAATTCTTGACAACTGTCAAGTCAAAGTGTAAATTTGTTAGAAGATTTTGTGAAAATATTAATTTATTTGGTGAAAATACCTGAAAAGCCACTGATATCTTAAGAGAAAAATATTATTTTTAATGATTATAGCAAATTTTGTGAAAGAAGTTAATGAAACTTTTGCATATAAAAAGTTTATGAATTGACTGGTGACTAGCAACGACTAATCTTGATACTTATTTTTTTCTAAATGTAAGCAAACATTTATTGGCGTGTTGACTATTACACTTAAACGAATTTTAATGAAAGAGAAAATATGAAGATAATTTTTCTACGCCGGAGAAAAAGAAGAATAGTGAAATAAAAACCAAATTTAGGAGATTTGATTAAAACGTTTCAGCGTAACAGACAATTCTCACATTTGCAATATTAGCAGAGATTAGCAAATAAAAAATACATAAATAAAGTAAAGCTTCTTTTATTTATCCGTGTTAGATTCCGGGGTCAAGTTAAATATTATTGGATATTTCTGCCGTGTCGGGTGCTGTCCAAGCGAACTTTTAGATTTTGGTAAATGCACTCTGCACAGGTATATTTTTGTGCACACACTTGTCCACTTTAGTGTGTCCCACGCAGATGGCTCATCTATCTCAAAACTTGCTGTGATTGAAATTTGGTCAGCAGAATGTTTAACATTATGATTCAAGTATTGATTTTTTTTTAAATAAAAATTTTACAAGTATCAAGAATTTGTTATCTTATTTCCCTAATGTTGCCTTCCATAAATTAGAATTTCCTGATTTGCCATCAGATTCTGTTACACTTTTACCTACAATCACATTCCCAATAACATTATAGTTCCAAAAAAATATCAGGAATAAAAAAAACAAATTTATAGAATTTCATCTATATAGATATACTAGCGCTCCGAGCGTAGCTTCGCCCGCTTGGATTTCGATTTTTATCACACTTCTTATTTACATCCCGTACTTCAATCCTTTTATGCCTATTCTTCGCAAAATTTCAAAATAGCCTCTAGCACACGCGCGAAACATATCATGGTGCCCACAGTTGGTTGTCAGACGGTCTAATCTCTGAGTAAACGTCGCAGACTCGTCAGACATAGATTAACGCTAACGGTTGACCGTGATACGTTCTTCTCTCTGAGTAAATGCCTCTGATTCGCGAAACATTGCATGACGTTTACGGTCGACTACGAAACCTTTTTCTCTGCCAGGTAAATATCTCAAACTCGCGAGACATAGCATGACGTTCATAGCATGAAGGTCTACTATGACACAGTCTTCTCGCCCAGTAAATGTCTCACAGCCAGTTGCCATTCATTAAAATTTTCATTAGTTTAAAGCTACATTACGCACACAAATTTGACATTCCTTAGAGCTTAAAGGCGTCATTAAACCCTAATGGACGTTTGTGCAACTGACCGTCAGACTCTTGAGTCATAGCGTGACGCTGACGATTGACTGTGAGATATAGCATTATGAGCACGGTTAGCTGTGATACTTTCTTTACTTTGAGTAAGTATATCAGACTATAATTACGGGAATTTAGTGGTGAACGCGGTGACACTCACCGCTTAAAGCTGATAATGGGCTTTGCCTTTTAAAATTGAACCTGAATATAAAGTTGTATCTTAGACAACTTTATATTCAGGTATTTTACACGATATACTGATTAAATATTTGTTTTAGCGTTTTTGAAAATGCTGCCCAAAGTAACAATAGGTACCACGCGGATGAAATCGCAGACAAAAGCTAGTGGATAAATAAAAACTCTTATAGCAGCTCGAAGATTTTTGTAGATAAGAGATAAGATAAGAGTTGCTAAATCATTGTTATATAAATAAAAGTCATTTTTTTTAATAAATTGTGGTAAATTTATTAAAATAATATTTTGTTTCAATAAATATTCATTTAAACATTACCTCATTTATGTAATTCTATTAATAAATTTTATTTATGTAATTTATTTTCTAATATAATTTAATCGTTAACTAATATTGCTGTGTATAAATTTTTTTTTAAATTGCTACACCCAAGCAATGCACACGAACTGTATCAATATAACAACTTTATACTTTATCATATAGATACAATAAATATATGAATGTACGCCACCAATAATATACACCAATTTATTCTCATTTTATGATATTACAGCGATCGGTCCGGTCAGTTGAATTTAGTCATCACTTCTCATTGCTTAATGCGCACGCGCCGACTTCACGATGTTTGTGCTTATATTTCTCGTTTTGCTGTTGATAGTTTTATTGGTATCCTGGTTGAGTTTTTTTCTAGATATGAAACGTACTGATGTTAAAGGACCTCTACCTTATCCATTGATTGGCAATGGTCACCTGCTGGCCGTGGATTCTCCAGGTATTTTTAATTATATTTAATTATATCAGGTATTTTTAAATATGTTTGTTAATATACAAAAAACCGTTAAGTTTAGTTAACTATAGGTTTGAGATTAAGATATTATTAAATAGAACTGTTAAAATATTTACAATATTTTATCAATTCACTTCTATGATATAGGCAATATAACTTAAATAACCGTCTTCATGTAGGTATACGATTAGGAAACGCTAAATTGCATTAGCCAAAGAACGCAATTTTCATTAATTTATGAACGGAGGTAGGAGCTGACACTGCCTCCGATACACAGATAATCTTCACGGTTATGATTTTAAGAAAATTATGAGAAAGATTCCAAATTTTCCAGATTTTCTTACGACGACAAATAGAATAAGCCCTCGGGTGTCATGAGAATTCGTAAGAGTAATATTTGAAAATTAAAAAGAACCTACTTGCTTGATCGCAACTTAAGTTAAACTTTAACAGAGTTGCCATGGCGTCATTACGCAGTAGACCTTGTGTATCAAACCTGATTTGTGACCTAGCTTCATTTAAACAAGGAATGTTTTCGTATAATACCTACTTAAACAGGATAGATTTAATGTTTACTTGTTTGTTTTCATGGAATATGCTCCGAAACTACTTAAGAGATTTTAAAAATTCTTTCGAATACTGAAAATTAGATCATACGTGGGTGAAAACGATTCTTGAAACGAAACCATACTTAATGATTGACAAAACACAAAACATTAATCAAAAATACAATACTTTGTTCTTTCATTAAGTAAATTATTTATATACGTAAAAATCACAACTCAAAAAAAATATTCTAAATAACTTAAACCAAAAATAAAATAAAAAGGTATCTTTATGTAATGTGATATGCATATGAGAAATAACAAAATATCAATTTCAAAATGTTAAAATTAAAGTAAGAAGTAAATATATGTGTTTTTAAATATTGTGGTGTTTTAGCCTTACAGTTTCTTATTCAAGAGATATTATTATGTAGTAAGCAACCTGGAATTGTTTATACTACAAAAAAAAACATTCTAAACAAAACAGGTTCTTAGACTTATAAGTTTTTTTTTATTTAAATTTGTGTCTTTTATATAATTTTTATGCCCAATAACAACCCAGTCTCTTATTATAAGTTAATTAACGACAGGATAATGAAATATAACAAATTAACAAAAATAAAAAATAAAATTTAGTAATAGGATTTGACTAATTTGCCTTTTGCCATTTGACTAATGTGCCTTTTTAAAGCCTATTACTATGTATTTGATAACCATTAAATTTTTAAAATATGATTCTACGTATGACTGGTATAGTGTGTTTTCTTATAAGATCTGTAAGGTCTCTTATTTTTGCATCAAGGAGGGGTATTTTTGTGTATAGACTTGTCTAAGTCCCGTCAATATTATCTGATCGGTTCGGTATTTGTGCACTGATACTTTTTTATATTTATGATCTGCAAATGAGGTTTATATAAAAGAATGCTCCCGAGTTGTCCTTTTCCACTCGTAAGATGTTAATGTTGTGCTATTTAATTTGATTACGGTCTTCATCTTTAGTGAAATTGGTGTCCCATTCTTGTCGCAAGATTTTAGTGTCATAAAATTTTTCAAATGTCATCTCTGCAACTTGATAAGGACAACCCGACTTTTTTGCTGTACGATTGAAATTGCAATATTGTTGCGGAGTATATATTGGACCAGATTTAATGTGCCTTTCAATTTTCTTTTCTATTACGCTTTGAACGTTGACGCACTCGTTTTCAGAATGAATGAGAAATTTGTGCATTATCGACATTACTCTTTTAGTAGCAATAACATACGCATAAACAGAAAGTAAAAACTTATTTTTTTTGCTCTTCACAACAATTGTCTGAATAATGGATAATATCAATATCTTTGTCATGATGATTTTCTAATAAAGTGTCAATACTTAAGAACATATGTGCCAATTTCTACAGCACCCCTTTAACCTTCCGTCTCATCCCAAAAATAACATATTACATCTTTTGCCCTCAAATCACTTATAGTAAAAATTTAAACATTTGCTATTTTTTTCTATGTTGTTCATGTCTTTCTCGTATTTTCGATTTCTCTTCCTCGTTGGCATTTTTAAAGCCCTTACAAAGGAAGAATTAGAACTACTACTAGAATCCGATGTGTGGGGTGTATTGCTATCACTTGGGGAAGTAAAAGAAGATTCAGGAACTACTTTAGGGCGTAAGTTTTTCTTTTTTTTCTGAACATAGCTTGGATCAGTCATCATATCGCTGCCCCCACAGAATAACGTGGTAAAATAAAAATGACAACTTTACAGGGTAAAATAAAAACGTAAATTGGTTAATATTTCAAAAAGTACTGGATCAAACTAATTTCTGTTGATGTTAAATTAAAATAGATTTTTTTCTCTAACTTATACAATAATAATAAAATAAATTAATAAGTTGTTCAAGGAAATAATAAGAAAAATGTAATGTACCACATATATTTTCTCTGATTCTAATTGCAAGTGATGTGACAACGTTATTTTACATTATATCCTTTACGACAAACTCGGCAACTAAACATAACAACAGTTTTCAATGTATTTTGACTTGTATTTCGCCGTGAGTAACAGCTTTTTACGACTTTTTTCTGGGAAAGATCTAGAAAAATTCATAACGTAATAAAATATATGTTCTTATTTCCAGCTTATTCTGTTTAAACCAGATGATGCATCAAATTAATACAATAACATAATTTTACAATAGGTTGCAATTAAAAAAATATTAATATTTCAATTTAAATACAACTATAACGTTATTATTATTAAAAACTTATTATCTCATGTAAATATTAAACTTTATAATTTATATTTTTCTAGTTCGCTTTATCATAAGCTATTATTGTACACTTTTGAACATTGCACAAGAAATCTCTTTCATGTTTATTTTTATTGCACCTTTTTTTACACCTATCTTTACAAATTTTCGCACTTATAATAATAGTAGGATAAGGCTATAAAAAACCGAGAATTATATTAAAATCAACAGTATTTCATAAAAAAATAAGTTTTTTTTTTATAAAAAATAACTAACCAAACAACAAACAATTTATTTCTAGATCTATCAGTTATTCATTAATGGCATTTTGAAATATTTCTGTTTGCATTCTTTTCTATTTTTTAATTAAAATACTTTTTTTAATAAACTATATTTGTTTTTTTGATCTTCTTCTACATGTTTATTTAGAAAAACTTTTTAGAGGCTCAAGTTCGGATTTCGTATTTATATCGCATTGTATTTACAAATAGTATATCAGGATCTATATGTTTTATTTTTGACCACATTACTTTGTTACATATAAAATCTCGTAACAAATATATTTTGTCTGCGAGCGCTTTTATGTGATTAAATTATTTTTTACCTTGTATTTTGGAGTTTAACATTATGGCTTACATTTATAGTATTTGTTTTGTGTGTTCGTTTTCGATGAAATTTAAAAGACAACATCCGGTTTCTATAGCTCCCCTTTCATCAATTTCATAGTGCCAAACGTAGCAGTATACTTGAAGATTTAAATGTTTAATATGGTAAAATTATAGATAGGGGATTTTCTCTTATAATTAAATATACTCCTACGTTTGACTGCGGGGTATTTAAAACTTGCTCGAGATCAAATATAGCAACTGTTCTTTATTTCTTGTGCCATTTCTTTGATCTTGATGGGTGATCTATAAGTTTCTTCGAGGGTAACCTTTCTTTCTTCATACAAAGCACAAGTATCGATCTTTCTTGGATTTGAAAATGAATAATCAAAAAGTTTATTAAATAAAATTCATACTGTTTTTTGGTCGCTTCTGTGTACACCCTTCTGGGTGATCGGTTTTGTGATTACTAAACCACTCGTTATACAGGCGATACATTTTACTTATGTTTAAATTTTCTAACAAACACAATCTCTTTGATTATTTTCTTGTGTAAAGATATTTTACTACAGGGAAGAGCTTGATGTGCGTTTAAAATGCTATGTTTAGTCGATATATTTATTTTTCGTGGTTTTTATTGTGTTCCCCTTTTATGTATGTTTTCGTCATTCTTACTCTTTTCTATAGCTGTATAAACATTTTTTTTCAGATATGCTTAATGTGTTCAAACAAAAAGATTTACAAACCTATGCTTTGCTTCCATTTAATGATAAAAAATAAGTTATAACTTTTTTCTCTTTTTGCATCTTAAAATGTATTACCATTATCTTCATGCTCACCAATTCTCCAATAAGACACAAAGATAGCTTTTCTGTATTTATCAGTGAACTTTTTGCAGCATTTCTTTTTGAATTTGCAAAGATCTCTAATGCTTTTTGGGGGATCTTTTAGAACTGACCCCGGTATAAAATTGCCCAGAATTCTTAAGCAATTTATTCTTCTTATTTTGCCATTCATTTTTGTTACGTTTTCTAGTAAAAAATTTACTTTAGGTTTATATATTTTCTTCTTTGGACCCATTTTCTTCTTCTGACTTATTTTCTGCTCCAGACTTGTTTTCTTCTTCCATTTGTTTTTCTTCTTTAGGTTTATTTCCTTCTTTGGACTTAGTTCCTATCTCAGATTCATTTTCTACTTCTTGTTTTGAATTTTGATACTTTAAAATGTCATCTTCCTCAAAAGGCTTTCCAACTGACTTTGAGATACGTTCTGTTTTTATGCAATATTTACACCGTTGTTCTGTCTAACTTCGTGGATGTTTTCTAAGCTAGTGGTTTGAAATATAATTGTTGAAGTATTGGACTCACTTTGAGTGCTCATGTTGTGATCATTTATGTCGTATATAATCATCGAAATCCAAGAAAGTTATGCTGTTTATATTATCAATACATTCATCATTCACTGTAGCTTTCTCTTTATAATTTCGATCAAATTCTTCAGATAAATTGGAAATCGTTGAAGGTGTTTTAATTGCATTGTTATTTTTATTTACATAATTTGTTATGTGAGGCAAAACTGATCGTTCTGAAATATTATCGAAATCTGGAGACAATTTTCTTCGAAAGATTTCACAACTCCGAATTTTCTTCGAAATATTTCACAACTCCGAATTTTCTTGTCGCGCGATATTATTCAGTTAGCTACTGTCATCATGTTTGAGATTTTCAATATCATTTTTTGATACTGAAATGAAAATGCAAGAAGTGGTGTTGTTTCATATTTTTATATAGTAACAGTTGCATATTTTTCTAATATCAAGAATAATGGCATGTTAAATGTACGACAACATGACTCAAATACATGGAGCGGTAAATTCAAATACGGCATATAGGGCGTATATTTTTTATCAGAAAATAGTCGTAAAATGGTTTACTGGGTTCGCAGGTATGATAATGTTCTGGAATAGGATCGCAATCGATTAATACGTAACAGAGATAGAAACATTTGCATTGTACTTGCTTGTTTCTATTTTATTCTTATAAAATATTTTTAACAGTGATCCCTAGAAAAAAGTTGTCTTAGTTAATAATTATGTCAATTTTAAGAAAATAGATATAAAAAAAAATTAGATGATAGTATTGGCATCCTAGAAGCCAAAAATGGGAAAACCTTAAAAACGTCGTAATGTAGCTTTACCACGTTGTTCTGCGGGGGCAGCGATATCAATAAAACTTTCTATTCATTTTTCTGAGCAGTGAAAAATGTATTTGATCACATTTACGTAACAAACAATAGCGAGATAACTCAAGAAAAGTTTTTTTTTAATAAAGTGGGACATAGTTTGTTTAAAAACAGATTAACTTTTTTCTAAAGATATGACATTAAAGTACATTACTTTTTAATCAATACTTGCAAAATGTCATGTTTGATATTGAAAATCATTAACATAATTTTGTTGCAGGAAAAGTAGGTTAACTAGAAATTTACATAGTTGGTTTAAAGGTACGTTGTTATAAATCGTTTACGTACGTTGTAATTTTTCCGAATTTTCATTCGAGAACAAATAGAATAGGTCCAAGTCTCAGGTCTCGTGTTAATTCGTACGAGTTATGAATAAACTAGGCGTAATTGATATCATACTTAGCCTACATTAATCAAAGGAGAAATTAGGATTTTAATTCTCTTTGGCATTGACTAGTAATTATTAATAGTTATTTTATACTTATTTTCAGATTTCATGAATGTTCTGAGTCGTCTAGAAGAAGAATACGATAAAACCGCTTTGATATATCTATTTTCACAGCGCTATATTCTTACATCAGACCCAAAATTTATAGAGGTAAATAAATATGAGCAGATAGAACTGACAATAACTGACCTCAATAAATATCTTAAACAATAACCCTATGCCGTCAGATAACACAAAAGGTCACAAAACATACATTATTATTATTTCTATGAGTCCTAGGGCCAAAATTATATATATCTATGCTGATATTATAAAGAGGAAAGATTTAATATTTGTTTGTTTGTATTGAACAGACTCCAAAACTACTGGACGCATTTTACAAATTATTTCACCCACTGGAAGCTATATATATGCGCGTGACATTTAAAGTCTATAAAAACGCGGGTCAAGTCGCAGGAAAAAGCTAGTATAATAATATACATAGGTGAATTTGTTTTGTATACAAACAGAAAATATTTGTAGTCAATGACAACATTAATATTGTGTTTATTGCGGTTACAGTGGTCACTGGACACTGATATTAATCGGTTATTAATGAGAAAAGTTACTGATATTAGTCGGTTATTAATAAGAAGAGTCACTGACATCCCAAGTAGCACAAAACACCATTATATCAAACTTATGATAGCACGAGTCCAAGCGTTAAGCATTATAATAAAATCGTATATAAACCGTATTTCTTTTAAACGACTCTTATACGTAAAATTTGGGCCCCCCCTTTGTACGACTTTAAGCTTTATAAAAGCTGTGCAATAGCACTACAACTTTTGTATAATAGCATTAATAAAGTCGGGTAAAAGCATCCTAATAGCCACAAAAAGTTCAATTAGCACTTTAAAGTGCTAATTGAACTTTTTGTGACTATATTACAATTGATATGCGTAAATCAAAATTATAATACGTTAATTTCATATTATAAAAATGCTGACTGTTTTATTTCCTTTGTAAAAAAAGTATATTTAATAGATTTTAAAAATATATAATCGGTTTAAGTTATTGTTTTGTGTAAGTGTCATGACATGTTCTCTTGGCTGGTCTTTTAAGTATTTTTAATATTGATTTAAACAGCTCGTTATGTGTGAAATAAGCTGCAAACATCAGTTTGTGGAGTAAAATATACAAGTTTATGATGTAAAATTCACGCGCCTTCGCAAACTTCCTTTAATATAATAAAAATAATAGAAAATTTAACCTAGTCGCAAAAATTTTTGTTGAATTTTAGGCTTTTTAGCATTGTTTTAACAACATAATTGCTTTAATAGGCATCTGTGCACAAAATAAATGATTATTTACCCCTTTTCATCTGACACAGTTGACTTTAAATATTTTGTAAGAATTGGAAAAAGAAAGCAAATGGCGACTCGTAAAATTAAAGCATTAGGTATTCAAATATAGTGTAGTAGAGCTGTTAATCGTATTATGGTTAGACACAAAACTAAGAGCTCGTAATTCATCGTATAACACACTCCCATTTTAGGTACAGCCGTATTTTAACACTTCAGAAGTATCTTATAGTGCTTATAATCATCAAACGATTATTTCATTTTTATTTTGATTTTAAAGTTTCAATTAAACAAGTATACTCTTTTTTCAGTTTTCTTTTATATCCACCTGTTTTCTTTGTTTTTCCCAACGTTTTTTGTCCATGGCACCAGCGATGCGTATAAAATGCCACCATTACAATACGATACATAAAATAATTTTACATTTTAATTTCACATAAAAAATAATTACGATCTATTTATTACTTGTATCTCTATAAATAACTTCATATTGATCAAAATATAGCCTAATGTTTTATAAAAGCATAGATTAAGAAGATAAAGGAGCTTGAGCTTGATTAAAGAATACTTTAAGAACAAATCGGTGCTAAAGTTTTACTAGTTCTTTATTCAATGTGTATATAGGATAAGCATTAAATCGGTACAACCGTAGGCCATTAGAAAACCTTTGTTTCTAGAAAATGACTAAATACAACTAAGTGCACTAAATAATATTACGTTAATGCTTATATAATATATAATGTTTTTCATATCACCGAAATACGATAACAGCTTTATATTAATATTACCCAATACTTAAATATGAGTGTTGACATTGGTATACTTTTTTTATTAACCATAATATGGCATTAAGCATTATTAGATAAAATAAATGCCTTTAAACAGATTCGAAACTTGACCAGTGCTGATTAAAAATGTTAGTATGACTTTAGGACATAAATCGGTACTTATTTTAGTTAATATATTATTTATGTGCTACTTGGGATTAGTCGGTTATTAATGAGAAAAGTCAGCAGAGGTCGCCCGCGCTCCGCGTATGGACCCATAAAAAATACATACGAGCACGGAGGTCAATAACCGTTTTTTTGTCAATATACGTACAGTATTTTCACTATTCAAATAAAAAAGAAAATTTTAATAAATATTGAAATAAAAATTTAATTATCAATTTAAAAATACATTTTCACAAAAGGTTTTCCTTCATATTATAAGATATTTAATTTCAGGAAGTGGTTTCTAGTACCAAGCTTATAGAAAAGGGAAGATCATATAATTACATAAAACCTTGGCTTGGTGAAGGACTACTGACATCCTCAGGTATAAAAACCTTTTTGTTGACTATTTCTAGGACTTGAATGAATAGTATATTGATTATAATCCGTAGGCTAAATGACTAATTTCAACATCTATCACAAACCCTTTCGAAGGTAGAGCCATTTGTATAATTATATATTCTAAATAGTAACGTTTAAAGTTGCAATCGCTTCCAACCCACGAAATTCTTCAGTCCTGTCTAGTCCTGGGTAGCTGCTGCGTAGCACTTAATATTCTGGTTATACGTTCAAATCCCAAATCAGTACTAGTGAATTTTCAAGTATATTGCTCTAATCTAGTGTCATGCGCTTATTAGGACTAACAATTATGTCAAAGTATTTGATCAATTTCGCATTCACGATGCTATACTAAGCAGTCGTGGGTTCGAATCCCATCTCAGGGTACCAAGGACCAAGTGGACTTTTAAGCATTTTGTATTAAGAATATGTCAAAGTATATTCGGAAGAACGTTATACAAAAAGAAGGGATCTTTTTCACAGGCAAAGTGATAATAAACTTACCAAAGATATTATGGAGTAACGGTTTGATGAATTGTTTTTGGGTATGATAACATACACATTTACATAAAAACCATGGTTTATTTCGTCCTCGTGGCATAGTTACTTTGGGCAACATTTCTAAAACTAATATTTATTCATTTTTTGAGTGTGGGTACCACTAAAAATACGAAGCAGCCGGCATGCTACTTCTACTCTTTTTCTGTTATGTAATCTGAGTATTGTGTGTACTTTTAAAAATAACGTTTCTTTTATGTTTTGTAGGTCCTAGATGGAAAGCACATCGGAAGTTCTTGACGCCGGCGTTTCATTTCAATATTCTACAACAATTCCTACCAATATTTTGTAAAAATGCAACCATATTGGTGGAGAAACTGCGTAATATTGCCGTAAAGGATTCTTCAACAGACTTGTTTCCTATCATAGCTTTGGCTGCCCTTGACAATGTAACTGGTAGGTACAAACAGTAAGCGTGGATGCAGCCTTTTATATTTTATATACTATTAAACTAATACTATCAAAGTATATATTTTTAGTAGTTTCTGGAAATTAAAAGAAATTTACCATTAAAATGTTTGTACAAATGTTGCTTTCTTAATAGATGAGTATCTTTTAAAGAATTGAAAAGTAACTACCTGCTTAAAAATTTATTTGTACAGATCGTTTCTATCTCTTCTTTTTTTCTAGATTCTATCGGCCAGTTGCACTAACGTCCATTAAAATTGACATTAGGGTACTTCTTGAAAAAGCAATTTTTGAGTGTCACAGGGACATATCTCCTATAAAAATAAATTATTATGATAAAAACTACTATTACATCGTTTCTTCATTTCATTAAGCATCGTGTCATATAGATTTCACGGATAAAAAACGACGTAGATCGGAGTAACTTACCCTCAACACCTCAAATCCGGTCAATTTTGCACGTTTTTACCGTGTCACACGCGCGCCGACTTTTGAGCAATCGCAAATATTTTTGAAATTACCCACGTTTTTAATCAGTTTGTTACACACATTTAAAAAAGACAAATCGGTTTACATATTGATCAAATTTCAAATTAATCGGAAGGAAACTTTTGATTTTATGGTCAGAAGTATACGTGTCACACGCTTAGCAAAATTTTCGCGGCGCGCCTTGCACGAGATACTGCTCTGAGCTGGAGAGGCGTAGACGAGCCCCGATTGGTGTTTACAAATCGTCATTTACGCCGCAGCTAGCAGGTGAGGTGGCCACGTCGCTGTTACCCGCGCTTTCGTTGCGAGAATAAGTTCTTCAATCTCTTAAATTTTGGTTCTCAGTTATCCGGCTTTGCCATGTCACATTTTTTCAATATAATTGTACTTCTTCTAGAAAATGGGTTTTAAGGTGAAATACCTAGCTCTATAATGTAGATAAACAGTAAAAAACTAGCCGGTTATATCTTTTCAATGCAGAGTAATTTCAAAATATATGTTTTTGGTAATTTCCATGGTGTAATTTCCATGGATAAAACACCATGGAAATTACATATCGCCCATGGAAATTACCTTGTTTCTTTTTGGTTGCAAAAAAACAAACGTTATGTTAAATGTTTGTTTTCAATGAAATGCACGCCATCGCCAAATACAGACTTAAATGTTGAATGTTGGTTATTTTTTTTAATTAAATCGTCTTAAATATCACCGGATTAAGTTAACATATTATATAATTTATTTATTTATTGTAAAAATTTACTTTGATTAAACACTAAATTGGTACCTGTAGGGCCAATGGTTTTCTCAAAAACGATAGATAGCCAAGGGGGTTATCTTCACTGAAATAACCTCCTAATATCTACTTATGACCGGTGTTCGCTATCTATCGTTTTTGAGAAAACCACTGGCCCTACAGGTACCAAATCGGTGTTAAATGAAAGCCAATTAAATTTACAATTAATTAATTATTGATATTTGACGTAGGATGCGTATTTTATAAGATAATTGACAAAATACATAACCATTTCGAAAAAGGGTTCTCTATGTCACTTCGAAACACGTTTCTTCGATAATTATACATCGACAACTATACAAGTACGTCGAAGCCTTCATTGTTATTTTGACTTTTGTTTGTCCGATGTAACGTTACTTCGAAAAATTTGCCAGATGCTGAAAATTCAATGTTGGTCTCATAGTGAAAGTTGTTCAGTTTTATGGGCTGAGCTACCACCTGAGAGGTTTTGCACTATTTCCATAACACGTTGTATATATTTTGTTTTTTGAGAACATGAACGTGTTTACGTTTCGTTCCAATTTTGAGTAAGTACTATCGTATATCGTTTCAGTATAATGTAGGTAGATCTTAATACTACCCTAACTAATATGACAGCTTAATTTCATATATGGCATGGTGTTTAGCAAAATTTTATCTGCTGTGTAATTTCCATTGCCTTTATTGTAATTTCCATGGTCCGCCAATTTTGTACATTTTTTTTTAGCAAAAGTATAGATCTCAGTCGTGGCCAATTTTAATATGTTGTTTAAATTTGCAGAAGTTTTCGAAATATTTATATAATTCACCATAATTTTGCGATTTCAAAAATGCCCTGGAAATTACACGGAGAACACATTTCCCAAGAATCACCCATTAATTAGAGCTTAAAGATATCATAAAACCTTAATGGACGTTTGTGCAACTGACCGTATGAGTGGTAATGGCACCTAAAATAAGTGGCAAAGGTATAACTTTTTTTTTGTTTTACAGAATCTATAATGGCTGTATCGTTTGATGCACAAGGTGACACTGAGTCTAAATTCGTGAAAGCTGTAGATGCGTAAGTAATAATAAACTACAATAATGTTTGTCTATGAATATTACGTCCAATAAATAATGCAATATTTGGCTCAATTGCAATGTCAATCGGTCGCGAGTGCGTGCTGCGATAGTAAGGGAGCTGTTCTATTTTGTGAAATTAAACCTGTCGAGTTCAAAATATAATCGGTCGAATCCTATTATCCTATTAATATTATAAATGTGAAAGTTTCTTTGGATGTTTGTCCGTCAATCACGCCGAAACTACTGAACGGATTTTGATGAAATTTGGTATACAGAAAGGGTATAAGCTGACTTAGATAATAGGATACTTTTTATCACTAAACATTTCCCTAGGGTCCACGCGGGCGAAGCCGCTGGCGAAAGCTAGTAACCTATAATTATGAATGTATAATCAAAAAAGGAATCATAATCTAGATTACTTATACAAATAATTAAAGGGGATATTACGTGGGAAGAGCTTACTGATCTCTAACGTCTCGAGTTCTCTGAGGTTCTCAGTTTTGATTCCTAAGACTTCTAAGATTTTTTTAGGTTAATGTATGAAAATTAAGTAAAGCTAATATATTGTGCTTATCATATACTGATTACCTATATTTCTCGTCAATGGCGACTGCCGATATTATGGTAGAGTGGATACCTATAAATTCCAGAGCTCCCATGGGTACATTACTTTAGTGATCGTTTTAAATGTTTTACATGTAGGTATATAGTTTCATATTATAAAAATATTTTTAAATACTTATTCCATAGTTCAGAAAATCTTTTCGATAATTATACAAAACATTATATTTGTGCGCACTCATTTAAAAGTTCCTTTGAGAACATTATATGAAATTTTTTAACGACAACTTTAAAATTTATCAGAGGCGCATCATGATTAAAACGCTTAATTAAAAGATTAATGTAAATTTACATTTTATTTAGATAGATTTCATTTCTAGCATATCTACAATAGTATCAAAGAGAATGCGTAACCCTTTTTTGGACTTGGTATTCCCCTTGACATCACACAAAACGAAACAAGACAAGGCATTGAAAATTCTTCATGGTCAAACTATAAAAATTATAAAAGCTCGTCAAGAAGAATTGCAGAAAATGAACATATCAGAGCTGGCATTACATTCTGAACATGGTAATCAAAAAAAAATTAACTAATATATAACATAAAAGTTACTGGCATCAATTTGAATAGAATAATTTCCTTTGAGTAAGCAAAACCTCTTCGTTCGTAGATTCCATTCCTAACTGATAATACGTATGTTTAATGTGTATATTACTTATATATCATTCAACTTATCAGAATAGTTTATAATTAGCGCATACATACAATACAAGTAGACTTAGAGAGCAATTATATGATAATTATAGTAATATAATATACAACTCATAGCAATGCTGTTATCTTAGCCCATTAACTTCACAGCTACATAACAGGTTATGTAACTATAGAGGTACACAAAGTTAATAACGCATGACCTTTACCTATAAAAGACCGGTTACAACGTTAATTTAATTATTTGCAGGAATTAAAAACAAACACACTTTTCTAGATTTGCTTCTTTTAGCAGAAGTAGATGGTAAGAAAATAAGTGACCAGTGGATCAGGGAAGAAGTTGATACATTTTTATTTGAGGTTAGTAAATTTGTCATGGACAATAAGTTATAAGTTTTATTTAAGAAGATATTACATCAAGTGTACGACATAAAAAGATTATGACTGAAAGCTTGATGAATACTTTTTCACTAACCTTTCGTCTTAGCTATATACCAAGAAATGTAGTTTTGGGTAGAGTAATGAATAATATTTGCACCTAAATAATACAAGATCCAAATCACGATTTTCTATTTTGATAACTTGATATTTCTAATTTCGATTTTATAATTTTAGGGACACGATACAACCACTTCTGGTATAACGTATTGCCTTTACTGTCTTGCACAGAATCAAGATATCCAAGAAAAAGTTTATCAGGAGCAAAAAGATGTTTTCGGAAATGAATTCCATAGGAGTCCATCTAGCAAGTAAGTTTTGTTATCTTTGGACTTTCACAAGTACTTGTAACATCCTAGACAGAATAAATAATCTTGATTTTGATATCGAGCAAAATATGATACAGTTGGAATAATTGTAAAATAAAATATTTCAAGTTGGACGCAACAAAATTTTTTGGTTGTGGCTCAAGACAATGAAGTTCTGAAGGCTGGCCCTAAGGACAAAAGAAGAAACGATACAAAATCAATCATACTCACCAATGAGAATGATAAGATGGCGAAAACACGTCAAAAAGTGCTCGCAAGCCATTAAAATTACTGTCAAACTTCCCAATCTAACAAATTTTCCCTATAAAAAGAGTAAGAAATAATAAAATAGCGAATTGTAGAGGTACAGTTATATACAACTTATGTGGCTCAATGTGCAGATGTTCGCCAAACGTGACAATTGCCGCCACCAGGTACTCCAGCACCTGACCTCTGACTGGGTACTGATTGATGCATACATATACAGCTCTAGTACATTTATTTGACGCCTCTTAAAATAACCTCTAAAGAAAAATTAGACTCTTATATATGTATAATCGAGAGTACTTACCAATTTATGGACACCACCGGCACTGCGTCTATGTTTTGCTAAATCGTCTGTAATATGAATTTGTAATAAAATTCAGGAAAAATATTTTTTCATGCGTTGTAAAAATAAGTCAAATTAATGACAAATGAAACGGTAGTTTCTTACTTACACTATGGACCAATAATAAAAATTTTCTCATCATAAAGACATCATAGCGTTAAAGCGGTTTTGAAGCTACATAATACGCAACCCTATTTTTAGATTCGTAACGCCCGCAGCAGAGACACAACAACAGGCCCCTGAAAGCACTTCGGTGGTGTACTCTTAGGGAAATCAATAGAAAATGAAAATTAGTGAGAGAGATACAATTAAAGCAGCTACACCAACTTTCTTAATATCCTAGTAAAAATATTTATGTCCGTTAACTTATTACTAAACTTTTCAGTGATCTGCAACAAATGAAATATTTGGATCTTGTAATAAAAGAGTCTCTACGAATATTCCCATCTGTACCGCTAGTCCAACGATACGTTGCGGAAGACACGGGTCAGTATTGTATATAAATAATTTTATTCAAAATAGGTATTTATTGTTATAAGGGTTTCACAAATTTTACATACCATTTATTTCGACGGAAATACCTCGTGTGTCCATAAGTTTTCGGACGAAATAAAAGTTTCTTAACTTTTTTTATAATTAACTTATATTTCTAAAATGTTCAATAATCATTTAAAAGATAATAATCAACAATAAAATTATAATTCATTCAAAATGACCGCCCTTGATTTTAATACCCTTAGACGATTTAGCCAGTCATCAATGGCTGTACGAATCTTTTGCTTCTCGAACAAGGGTTGGCTTCCGTGACTCCAGGTTTGGGTGGGACTTTCGGCAGGCCCTGAGCTCTAATTCATTCCATAAAGAATAGTCCAGCGTGTTGAGGCCGGGGCTAGAGGAAGGCTATTCATCCGCCGCGATGAAGACCGGCATTTTCACTCTCAACCAAGCTTGGATGCTTTTTGCCTTATGAGATACTTTTGCCTTATAGACCTTTAACTTAAGATCATATTTCAGTATTCTGTTGACCGAAACGTGCGAAATATAAGTCTGCAGAGCGAGTGCGATGTGGATTTCGACGAAAACCTTCTCAGATGATTTTGATTTTGGCCGACCACTCCTTTGGCAATCTTGTAAAGAACTTGTATCTTTGTACCGCTGTATTGTGTAATAGGTGAAGTTAAAGCTTACAGGAAACGGAAACGCCTTTAATAGCGAAATGACAGTTGCACGTAATTGTTTCGTTCACTCCATCACGAGAAAATAAAAACAAATGTATTTGCGATACCAATAAGCTAAAAGTTAACATTCCAAATTCAAAATCGGTAAAAAAAATAACAGCCAGTAACATTTTATTTCATTTTTCTTTAAAAAAATTGTCTCAAAACTTATGAACACACGAGGTAGTTGGAAGGAATCTGGATAATACTTACCTACCTATTACTGTTGTTTCAAACAAATTATTTCGCAACAAAATTACGTTGTTCCAGTTATAAATGGATTGCGTGTACCAAAAAATAGTTCGATTGTGCTGGACTTCTTCAATATGCAACGTGATTCAAGTGTATACGAAAACCCATTAGAATTCAGACCTGAAAGATTTGAGAATACTGGCAGGAACCCCTTCACGTGGCTACCGTTCAGCGCTGGTCCAAGGAATTGCATTGGTATTTTTATGTTTACTTAATCATAAACTTATACCCTGTGACTTTACCTAATACATTTTATATTTCACAACTCACTCGGAAATCCATTTAACGTATCTATACTATTGAAAAGAAATTCAAAATTTTCTCATTACTCCTGCTTCAAAAACAGGTTATGAATATATTCTCTGTTTTTTGAGAAGTAAATAATTTATATGTGAATCTTAGATTACGTAAGTCCGTTATTCGTTGTTTATTTTTCTAATTCATAATGTTTTCGAAAGATTTAACTTTTTAATCCGTTTGGATAAAGAATAATTAGGTAGGATCTTTATTGCGTTTAAGTTTTGCTATGAAATAACAACAAAAACACTTAAGTTTAAAATATTATGCTGAGATGAAATATGATACTTATTCCTTCGATCAACAATACAACATTTATTGCTATATTATATATAGAGAGTAGTGTGTACTTTATTTTTCGTTTCATCTCAATTGAAGAGTCAGCCCGTCCATAAAGGCAAACTAGGCAATTGCCTAGGACAATAACTAAAATATAGCTGCAGAACTCCGTCTTCTTGGCAAGTTATCAATATGAGGATCCCATTGCAGTCTGGAATCTATTGTAATATCAAGGAACTTGGTCGATTCTACCAACTTAACTTTTTCACTATTAACATTTATGTGTACTAACATGCCTCGCATTAGATAATGCAAACTTTATGCACTTTTATTTGAATTGAACTTTAAATTATTATTATCAAACCATTGTAGAACATTGTTTAGAGCATCATTTACATCGCCAAAACAATAATTATCCTTCTTAAGTTTAAATATTAAAAAGGTGTCCTCTGCAATAATACTGTCTCGCACAAATTCGAAGAACTAAAGTGAGGAAGATCATTAATGTAAATTAGAAAAAGCAATGATCTTAATACCGATCCCTGAGGTACGCCCAAAGTAATGGGTGCCCCTGCAGATTTCGTTTCATTAATCGCTACTTTATTAATTCTAGCAGAAAAATATGATTTTATTAGATTAGGTGAATTTTTCGACACACCATAATGCTCTAAATGACTAACGCAGTCGAATGCTTTTGACAGATTGCAAAAAATGCCGATGGCATCTTGTATACGCTCCCAAGTGTTAGAAGTGTTAGAAGTGCAATTCCAGCGTCTGTGGTACATTTACCTCTGCTAAAACCAAATTGCTTTTTGTGAAGTAATCTATTTAACGAAAAGTGTGCAAGCGGTTGATTGTAAATAATTTTCTCAAATACTTTATTGTCAACCTCTAATGAGTATGTGTGCATATTACATTTATTTTTCCCCTTATCTTGATTTATGATAGTCCAGGTTATTTTTTTTTTCTGTAATTTTCTTCAGATATACATATATAATACTTTTGCTGAAACACATACTTTCCTAAAAAAATTGAATAATTTCTGACATATTCAATAAACTTCGGATCGATCAATCGAGGTACACTTTAGCCCATACAAATCATACCGCCTATTTCGACTTTTGTAGATTTCAGGTGTAGCCCAATCACTAAATTTCTTCTTTTGGTTAGTAAAGTTAAATGTTTTGTCAAACTCTTACTTTATCAAGTTAAAAAAAATATTATAGACATCATTTATATTTTCCAAATTACTAGCTATCAACTGAGTCTGATTTGTAGAAACACAATTTTTAAATTTTTCTAAATTACTTTTGGTAATAGGTCTACAAATTATATTGCATTTAGGAGAAACATGATGGTGCTCGAAAATTGCTAGCTTATTATCAACTTTTTAAACACCTTACATTTACAGAAAATATTATCTAAGCAAGTAGCAGGTGTAGGTGTAATTCGGGTAGGTTCATTAAAATATTTTCTAAATTAAGAAATTTAAACAAGTTAAAAAAACTACATTTTATTAAAATATCTATATTACAGTCACGACATGTCATTACTTTCTTGTCATTTCGTAATTTGCAAACTAATTCGAAAGTACCTAACGAGTTTCTTAAATTAGTAAAGACTTTTTGTTCTGATTTTTATGGGTGTCGTTCCAGTGTTTATTTATTTTTTTTTTCTAAGGTGCAAGTTTATTTTTTTTTTCTAAGGCGCAAGTTTATTTTTTTTTCTAAGGCGCAAAGTATTTTGCCTAGGGCGCAAAATTTAATTGAGGAGTCTGCTCAACTGTAGGTAATCAATCCATTCCCATTACCACACTTTTTTTGTCTTCACTCAACACTTCATTTTTAACCACACAAGTAAAATTTTATATAATAAACCATCGCCGAATTATTGTAATTCGGATGCATAACGCATGCTCTGGTTACATTTAGTTATAGTTTACCATACCTACTTAGCTACCTTCAAAAGAGGTTAAACTATTTTAATAAGAGAAAGTGTGACTCTTCATCAAATTCTTATACTATCAATAATAAAAGTAAATCATTTTACAGGTCAGAAATTCGCAATGATGGAAATGAAAGTGACGATATCGGAAATTATAAGGAACTTCAAAATTCTCCCAACGGGTCAAGAGCCAATATTAGTAGCGGATCTTATACTCCGTTCTTTAGACGGTGTTAAATTAAAAATTGTGCCCAGGCTATGAAATAATATTAATATTGGTGTTTTTATTTTTACTTTTATAATAGTTACACAAGGAACCCTAACGAGATATTATATTGTTAACATTATATTTAAAATTAATTTTAATTTGATTGATATTTGTTTTTAATGTTAACGAGAGCTGTTGTATAAAAATAAATGTTTATTTTTATTAAAGAATGTTTGTTTAATCCAATTAAAATATTTTTCCTCGCTTATACCAATATATCTTTATTAACATTGCTACAATACTTATGAAGATATGATATCTATGTTAATAAAAACAAAAATAAATCAAAAATAAAAAATACAGCATAAACCTTACGTTATTTTTTTGTTAAATTGGGGTCGATAATGATACCATCATGATTTTTGTAACATCTGTCGTAGGTAATGAGAATGCAATAAAAAAATTATACATTTTATTATATATACTTTATATTTGATTATTTTAACCATTTTTGTACCTAATTCGTACATTTAATTCATCAACTCGCTTAGCTCTTCGTTTATATACTCGGGATGATAAAAAGCCTGTGAAAAGGGTATAACAAAAATTTTGATAAAATATAATATGATAAATAATAATTACTATTCGATACGTTACGTAACGCCAGCATACTTCTACTAATAACGGCTATTTGGTGGACATCGCTATTATGTACTGTCAATGTCAAATATAACGCCAGTAGAGATGTGAAAACTCATAAAAAAACTATATCGAGTTATAAAACTAAGTACGTTACCTGAGTTAGCAAGACAAACATGATTAATAATTATTTTCTATTAATCACAATATTATTTTTGTTATTTCTATAGGGGTCAGTCATTTTTTAAGTCAGGATCTCATAATCCGCACTCATCTTTTTTATCTAAAATTAATGGTTAAAATTCTTTTCATAATATTTAAAAATGGATATTCTACAACGTTATAGTAATCAAAAACTTCGTATTGTTGTCGGTACATATGTATCATTCGATCGTTGCATAATTTTACGTAATAAAGAAATTTAAGATCACAAGTTGCGTAAGAAAAAACATTTTCATTTAATACTCGAGTTAGAGTTAATGTTAAAGTATTATACAAAACTCGAACTAACTCGTTACTCGAGTCGATCGCATCACTATGAAGTGTTTATACTTTTACTCGTTTTTCTAATCCAAATAGTATTATTATTATTTTATATTAATTGTTTGTTATTGTTCTAGTCTCTCGTGTCTCTCGATCAAAAAATAAACTACTTTCTCATTTTACATGTATAAATTAATTTATTCACTTGATATTAATACGTTCAGTTTTCCATAACTTAAAAATGTCATCGGATGTTCTTAGTATAGCTAGACGAAAATTAAATGAAGCTCTCGGTGAGAAGTCCACAAAATACTTTACACACATGAAACAATGGTTTCGAATGAAACTCACCAAAGAAGAGTTTGACGCTGAAGCACGTACTATGCTTAACTCAGACCAGGTTCATTATCACAATGAATTCCTTCTTGCGCTATTAAATAAAGTTGAAGGTTTAGCCGAAACTTCAATAACAATAGCTCAAGAGAAAGCAAATTTACACCAGAGAAATAGTCGAAGGCATAAGCGAACATCGCGTACGTCAGAAAGATCAAACTTTGAACCAGTTGATTTATTGGAATTCCTGCCTCCAAATTCGCCTCCAGGAGCGGGTAGTGACGGTGTAAAATATGCTACACAGGTAATTTACTCTAATCATAAATGTAATTTTTTTAATATTTGTCTGTAAATAATTCAATTGTAATCTTGATTGAAATAAATTAGTTTTACAACGCATTTCAACATAGCGAATATTGACCCTTGATTTTTGTTTTAAGAAATTGTAATTTTTATTCCAGGAAATATTTTTGCCTGATCACGCCTTAGTAGTGGGCCGGTTTATGTTAGCCGCCTGGGAGCTAGGCCTAGAGGGTGCTGATGATGATGCAGCTGATATAATAGTTGTTGCTGTGCAAAACTTCCTCAAGAACATCATCACAGCTATTGTTACACAACGCAAAGGTTACAAGATCCGTAATAAACACTTTGTGTATGATGTCGGAGGGGATATGCCCAATATGTGGTTGCGTAACTCAAATAAACTGTATGATCCTCAAGAAGAAGGAAGAGTGCATGTAGATGATGGACCAGATGCTCTAGCACCACGATGTCCGCCTACTATTGATGAAGTAGAGCAGTCTGCGGCTTTTGAAATTGCATGCAGGTAATTTTGTAAATCTTCTTTTCTTTCTATCAAATCTATTTTTACTGAATATAATAAATTATTATCTTATTTCTCTCTTGCAGTGTACCTGTCACAGAGCCGAATGATGACAAGTTAACAATTGATGAGTTCTACAATACATTGCTAACACATAGAAATATTATAGCCTGTCATTCTGTGTATGCTGTAAATATGGAAAGATTAGCTGTTATGCTAAATCATCCTAGTTATTAAAGATTGTGTCATAAATGATGTAAATACTAAGTATGAGTTTTTTCTTGAGCAGGTATATTATTTTATTTATTGTTATAAACCTGTATGATGAAGCTACCTATTGGTAAAATAACACTTAAAATTGGTCCAGTAGTTTCAGAGCCCATTCGATGCAAATAAACAATCACATCTTTCCACTTTATAATATTAGTATAGAAGTATAAACAAGCTCCAATCATACTAATGAAATAAGTGAAAATACTATGCCTAACTAAATCATTTGTGATATAATAATTTAATCAAAAATATGTTTTATTGTATGGGTAAATAGATGGGTGAAGACCAATCTTTATGTAGATCTTTTACTAGGTAATTCATGATTTTTTAACATGATTAAATGCATAATGGGAATAAAAAGGATCAAAGACATGCCTGAGCAAAATTATTTGTGACAGTATATGGTACATTATGTAAGATGATCCATAAGAACATCTATACTAGTATAAAACAATATTGGAAGCAATCTGTATGCTATCTGTATGCTGAGATCTTGCAATAGAGACCGAGTGATTCAAGTGGAAGCTATATATGTATAATACAGGATCACAGGCGAAGCCGCTGGCGAAAAGTTAATTATTATCAAACATCTAAATCTTAATTAGTGAATTAAAAATTTGAAAATTGAATGCCTAGTGTAAAAAAATTACAACTAAAATAATCAGAGTTAATTTAACAAAATATAAAATCAACTATATATTTTCACTTAAAATTAACTAAATATTGTACAATTGAAACAATTATCTACTCTATAGCATAAAAAACACGTAGACAATGATGATGATCATAGATTCGATTGACTAAAGCAAAATATTGAAAGCATTAAATTGTTAGGGTTACGGTAAATCCACTCTGAAGACTTTTATTCTTAAAACTATTGATGAATAAAAATATTTGATAAAAATTAAACATACTTATAATTTAGCATTATGTTAGCACAAAACCAATTTCAATGAAATAAATAAATTCACAAAAACTCATACATTCAAAGATAAATTAATAAAAGCTTTTAAAACATAACAAAATTGTTAGTTTCATTATTTATTATTTAAAAATTAACTGAATTTTTTTCTATAAGTAAATATTAACAAAAGCGATCTCCTTTTTATCGTTGCCAATTATTAATGGGAATTAGCAAAATATAAAAAATCTGGATTTAAGAACTTCCCTAATTCAGCGCCCGCCTAATTTTAGCTTTAACTCTAGTCATGGGATACGACATTTTATAGATGTTATAGCGCTACTTCGTCTCATTTTACTTCTTTGACATGTACTTTAATACTACTTTAAAACGTAAAACGAATGATGAAAAATGAACAGTCAGTCGGTTAGTCATAATAGATCGTCAAAATAGTAAAATGAAACGAAATATCGTCATAATATTCGCTACGATGTCGTATCCTATGCCTAGAGTGGCAGTTGCACCCCAGAACTTATATTGCTTCTGAAATAGCACTCGTATCCGAAGGAGATTGCACGGTGACAAGTGGAATATGACGCGAAGGCTGCGGGGAAGTCCTTTGTTCAGAAATCCTTTGTGTGGAAACACTTTGTCTAGGCGCTAGTTCCTGTATTTCAACAACGTCTTGTTCTTCTTGTTGGCCCGTCCCTAATAAGCTACGCTTCTTCCATACGACGATACCTAGTACACTGAGAATTGCGGCAGCACCGATAACACCAAATGTAATCCCCGTTACAGACGCTGTAGACATTGTATATAGACCTGCATGAAAGTTAACATAATTAATATAACTGTAAAACCTTGAAGCAATTACTAAGTTAAGAATACATGTTGGGTTATTCTTTTTTTGATCGAACATTTAGTACATAGTATAAAACAAAGTCGCTTTCTCTGTCCCTATATACCTGTATGCTTAAATCTTTAAAACTACGCCACGGATTTTGATGCGGTTTTATGTCATAGATAGGGTGATTCAAAAGGAAGGTTTTTGCGGAAAGCTAGTTTTTATATAATGAATGAATGAATGAATGAATGATATTTATTTGTAAGAAAGTGGTCACATAAATGATGTTAATTATCAAAGAAAAGCACACACATTCTGCCGACTTGATCAGCGTACAAATATTTTAATACCTTTAACAATCTAATTAATATTTCTTAATGTCAGATAAAATAAAAAAAAATAAAAAGCAATATCATTTCTCGTACATGCACTGTCAAATTCGAAATTATGTCCAAATCTATCATTTATGAAGTCATTAACATTATAATACATTTTATCTAATAATAAATTAAATACTATTTTCTTAAATTTATTAAACGGTAACTTTGTTATGTCAGTTGGTAATTTATTAAAAATACGTATTGCCATGCAGTAACAATTACTTGAATATACATGAAGCCTCTGTGACGGTATATACAATTTGTCACCTTTTCTCCCTCTACAGTCAAAGTCGTTATTTGTTTTAAATAAATTACAATGTTTGTATACAAAAATACACATTTCATAAATGTACATACATGGAAGGGGCAATATACCCAATACTTTAAATAAAGGTCTACAACTGTCACAATATCCTACACCAGAAATGGCTCTGATGCATTTTTTTTGTAATTTAAAGGTTCTCACCAAGTCAACCGAAATCAACGTAAACCGTATAAGTTTTAATTGTAGAATGATTATGTATCTATTGTTGAAGAGCCTTAATAAAATATAAGACAACACATATCGTCATTAATAGAATCAGGAATGATTTTGCGGAAGTTCACGGTTATACCGTGGAACTATGATATCTAGCAAACACACCAAGTCAGTAACCGCAAGACCAACTGTGTACCGCCCGCACACAAATTCACGCATAAGAATCTTTAAAAAATAGTACCGACTTCAAATATTAAAAAAGTGATAAATAAATACTTATCTCAAAAGCGACTTATTCAAGAAAATGCTATTTAAGTCGGCCGGAGGTTTCTGTAGGTAATAATTAAATGATAGGGCGCCCGACATAAATAGCATTTTCTTGAATGAGTCTCTTTTGAGATGAGTATTATTTATATATTTTTTTATTTAAAAGTATTTAAGCCGTATTTTTTTATATAATAGGTAACACTAAAAACATTAAATATCGATATAAATAAAAATATTCAACATAGTGAAAGTCTAAAAAAAAAGATTTTTATTATTTTTTTTTTTTATTATATTTTACCCATTTTAGATTCACAATGCTGTACTGAAAAATATTCTTAATCAAAAAAAAAAAAAAAAAACAACAAAGACAGTAGATTCTTTAAGCATTTTCATTAAGAATACTTTTCAGTATAGCATTGTGAATGCAATATTGATCAAACATAATAATTAGAACAAATTCATTTATATCGAAAGTTTCAATATTTCTAAAGATATTTCTTTCGGCTGTTTTAGTGTATTGCCTGAACATTGATGAAAACGTATTTTCAATTTCAACAAAGCGTACTTTGTAGTAGCGTAACAAGTGCTTGAAAAGAGTATTTTTTTGTTTAATTAACATATTTTTTTCTAATAATTCTACAATCATATTAGAAAGAAAAAAGATTTAATAACTTGTTACAGTCGACAAGCAATTTCCGTGGTAATTCCACGGAAATTGCTAAATATCATAGGTTGTAGAAATTGCTCAATATGCTAGATAGGTTGTGGAAATTACTAAATATCATAGATTGTGGAAATTGCTAAATACCATAGGTTTTATTTTATGGTATAGGGAAATTGCTAAATATGCTAGATAGGTTGTGGAAATTACTAAATATCATAGGTTGTGGAAATTGTTAAATATCATAGGTTGTGGAAATTGCTAAATTGATAGATAAGTTGTGGAAATTACTAAATATCATAGATTCGCGAAGACGGTATGTGTCGTCTTAAGAAAAAGTGTGACCTTCTTATAATTTAAGATTCAGTAGCAGTACAGGGACTTTTATAGACCTGTTATGATAAACAGTAAAGTAATAACAATCGATTAAAATAAAACCATTTACGCGTATTTAACTAAATCAGCACGGTTGCAAATTACATTATCTGGATTCACATCGAGCGATCTAATGCGATCGAACGCACTCATTAACACTTTTGGGCAGCCAAGTCAGCCAAATGTGTAATGCTAATATGTGTAATAATTGTATGTATGCTGGACTGTGCGATCCAAGATGGAGGAGATGGTTCGCTCGATCCATATCGAGGTGTCCACACGCAGCTTGATTTTATATTTTGAAAATGTAACCTACCATCAACTTCGAGCATGATCTTGTCTATGTGTTCCTTTCCGTCGTCGAGACCAGCGCCGCAAGTCCACAGGCCCACGTCTTCGTATTTAACCTTGCGGATGGTGACAGCGCAGTCGCCGCGGTCGATACTCTTGTTCTGCGGAAAGTAGTACTTTCCAGCGATCGGACTGCATAAATACAATTTCAATAATCATTGTTCTGTTCATATTTTATTTTATTTCATTTGAATTCATACTGCTACAGTAAATACAACTGGGGGCCAATTCTACTAAATACATTTTATTTAAATCAATTCCAGCTAAAATAGAACTGGAATTGTATCATATGTCACTTTGTAGAATAGGCAAACCATTAAAAACTGTAGTTTCGTTCGGTTTCGATCCGTTTTCGATTCAATTGAAACAAAATTTATTTAGTAGAATTGGCCCCCTGATGTGTCGCACCGGTGTACACACGGCTGCACGTCAGACTATACATTGTGGACTTTGTACCGACCGCGCGTCGTATAGAACTTCCCTACTAACAGAGGACTGCTTACGGTAGTAGTATGTGTGACGTGCGGCCGTGCGTACCTGCGCAGACTTAAATTTCGAAACGCAGCTTTCGGCTAATAAGAAGTAAGAGTTACCTAAATGAAAATCAACACTTTGATTAATTCAATAAGTAAATATGATTTAGTATGTTATTGTTATGCGATTGATCTAATGTACTCGTAACATTACTTTTACATAAATAGCATTGGCAAAATTGGTCTTCTCGAATATAGACCTTAATGCGTTCCGCTAAGGTTCCCACTCGTAGTTTGTAGAACTCACTGTCATCTCACATGTAGTGAGCTTGAACATGGCGCGCACGTATCAACGAATATGATTCTCTCTATAGCAGAACGTTACAATTTACAAAAAAGTTTACGCGCGTTACATCAGCGGCGGCATAAGGGGGTAGCGAACAGGGCAATCGTCTAGGGCCTCGCTTTTGAAGGGGCCTCGCGCAAGAACCCAAACAATTAAAAAAAATAGATATATTAACTATATTTTGTAAATGAAAATAAAGTTAATTAACTAATTCGTTCATTCAAAACATGATTAAAATTCTTGAATATCGCGCCTTGAAGTACTTCGAAACGAATACGAAATAATCGTTTTTTGTATAGTTCAATATGCTGAATGGAGGTATTCGGCTTTAAGCCATTGCTATTTTTTCAAAAATAAAGTAACTCATTCATTAGATTGTTGTGCTTTTATTAAAGATTTTAGACTAATGAAAAACCGCAAACATCAATTTTTAATCTCCGTTAATTTTGTAAAACTTACAGTTGAAAATATTTTCAAAGTCAAATTTGTTGATTAATTTTATTTGTATAACTTTAGCATTTCTCGTCAAACATAACAAATACCTAAACCAAACAACCGGACCTACTTGCGCATCACATATTTTTCACGAAAGACAAAGACTTGCTGCCCGGAGCCTTTCATATAACTATGTAACTTCCGTGTAGGTACATCAATGTAACTTATTTACAATACATACTTTTTCGCTGTCACTGTTTCACTCAGACTAAATGGACTGTCGCTTGGGGGTTCGAAGCGGCAGTATCTCAAAGGGACCAGCCCCTTGGCTGTGGCACATTCCAAGGTCACAGACTTCCCGTGAACTGCTGTCACATTGGGCTGGATCGCGGCTACCTTGTTCAAAAAACAATGTATTATAGTCAGCTGTTCGCATAAATAACGAAGATTTAGTTCAATAAGGTATATGCATCAAGCGCAACTCGTAGATCTCATAGTGAAATAGTACATTTTAATGTCCGAATTATAAAATCGTGTCTTTTTTCGAATTGAAAATAGATAGTTTAGTTGTTATTCGCTTAAAAAAATAGTCAATTCCAAGCGATATTTGGTCATTAGACTGAAGTCACAGTCTAGAAGCTCGTTTTTTAGTGTATTATATTATAATGATGATTTTTTGGCTTCCCCCTGACACTGGCGCCCGGGGTAAGTGACCCCCACTTGTCTCTTTCACTCGAATTGAAAAATGACGTCAGAATGACGAGAACAGAACTTTCAGTAACTATAAAACTGATACAAATTACTTAGTAGTGAAGGTTTTACGATATTTAGTACCAATTAGTGGGAAATAATAAAATCTTCACGCTATCTATTCATCAACAAATGGGTTCCTGGTATTTTTTTTTTCTCCGTGAAAACCTAAGAGTTATTCGCTGAGCGTAAGCATAGTCAGTATTTTACGGAATACAATGGGAGCATGTAAACAAGCATTGTAAGCAAGCCGCCACTTAAGCATTTGTTCACGGCGAAAAAACGTCCGTGTGCATAAGAGGTTAAGTAATAACAAACAATATACTTTACTGACTTGGTTCACCACTCGAAGATGTATAGTTTGCATGATTTCCACACCCACGGACGCTTTTCCTATATGACAGCTCCATTGTCCACTGTCTTTTTTGGTCGCTGTTATAGTTACTGCACAATGTCCATTATTCAGACCCTGACCTGAAAACCTATCAATCGTTTAGTTTAATAGTATAAAACTAAGATAGAAACTATGTAATATCATACACGTGTGTTAATTAATCCATTTATTTGAAACCTTATGCTTTGTCAATCATGTTCAAAATCAACTGTGGTAACCTGACGTGCAGTCATGTGTACATCCAGCACGCGTAGCATGATAAACTCAAGAAACGCTTTGTCTACACTCATTTGTCAGTTTCTCGGGTCGAGAGTGAGATATAGTATGGGCGCACCCGAGAAAAGTGACATTTTCCTTTTTTGAACTCTATTTTCATTGAAAATACTCTAAAAATATTTTTGATGTTTATTTTTATTTAAGTATAGTTTTAACCATTCCTTTCATAAAATATGGTCTGTATTTGGCGATTTCTGCGAATTGAAAGAAATAGGTGGGCAGTTAATTGTCCTTGTGAGTGTATATATCGCACCCCCGGTGCGACACTGTCACTTTTGCAAAAAATACAAAAAATAGTTAAATATGTAATAATTGTCCTAAAGCACCCATTTACTTGGTGCGATAATGTTACTTTTGTAGCACGCATAGTTTCCGTATAATTCATCTCATCTATAGATTAGAAGATTCTAAAGTCATTGTATTGTGAGGTGTCAGAGCTTAAAACTCTTCTCCTGAAAAACTAAATTTTTGCAAAAGTGACAGTGTCGCACCGGGAGTGCGATATATTGATTGTTTTTGCTTGCGATTTTGCTTTAATACACCCGAAAATTAATTAAATAAAAAAATAAGTTCAAGTACTAAAATCCGACTACTGCTACATCACGCCCTAAAAATTTAAATTCAAAGATGAAATTTATTTTATTGTGATAAATATATTATAATAGCGATGGTGTATGCCGCAACAATTTGTTTTGTTATGATCAGTGGTTCATTCTACTTCCTAAATCCGAGAAAAATTCTTATGGAGACTGATCAACAAAATTTGGCAAGAATAAATTTAAAAAAAATAATATTAAAACATAAATGTTAAACAACATTACGACTACATTCTTTTCCCATAAAAAGCTAAGCAGCTATTTGAAAATTTTTAAGTATGTTAGCAATTATAAAGTACAACGCTGTAATCTAAAAAAAATGGATTTGTTATAATGCTATCGTCACAGGTATTCTTAGACATATTAAATACTTCCATAAATACAATAAGTTTACTTTTATTATCTTAATTATTTACACAACTAAAAGTGCAATTTGACGGCATTTGTAGTCGTTAATACCCTTCAATCCGCATTGGGCCAGCGTGGAGGGTCATGGCCCATCCTCCTTAACCATCCATAAGGAAGGCCTGAGCCCCTGCAGTGGGGACGTAAAAGGGCTGGTGATGATGATGAAAGTCCAGTTTATACAACAGACTTGCCACCGATAAATATTCAGAATCTGTTGACAACAGCTATGCCATGCTCTTGATAATTGATTTTTTTTTATTTTATTTGACTTGAATTGATAACAAATTTTCTTTGTTTTCTTTATATATATAGGTAGTCGATAATCTTTATTTTAAATTTGAAACATGTTTGTTAGTGTTATCCATAATAATACTTATCTAGAAATACTTACGAATATCTCTTTCCACTGGGATGAATAAATCCACAATATGTCATTGGCATATCCGTTTGACACTGTATATTAACTTTTTCATTATCAAAAGCCAATATTGTGACCACACCATCTCTATCAAAAACTCTGTAACCTATTCAATATTCACATTATAAACACATCGAACAATGCACCAAAAATAATAATAAATAAACACTATTAATCATACCGTGTATATTCACTGTGCAATGTAAAAAATAAATTAGAAACATAAAATACTTCACATTCCCCATTTTATGTTTTGAACTGTACACAGTTACTGTTATTACGAAACTGGACTACCCTCACGGAAGGTGATAATAAAATGTCAATAGGTCGTTACTTTATGAGAATAGTTTTGATAACAAAGTACTCATTAAGAATAAGCTTTGTAAAGATTATTAAGCTCAATAGCCAATAGCAATAGCAATTCAAACTAATCCGACTGCTTACAATATGAATTCTATGTAGATTTTCAAATTCTTATTTCGATTGAATATTACTCGTATGTAATATCTTCGTCAATTATGGACCGATTTTCTAAGGATTAGAACAAAAACTTCATAGGATTTCAACCAGTGTTATTTGTAATCTTAATTAGCAAAACTAATAGAAAATAAATTAGAATTAATTAATAAATAAAGTATTAGGAAAAATATTAAATGATTAATAATAGGAATTAAAATTTGGTGGTTAATAAAAATAAATTACAAAACTTAAGTATACATGAAATGCAAAAAGAAATCAATCATTATAGTTGATAAATTTCGCATTCACAATACTTACGGAAAAATATTCTTAATACGAAATGCCTGAACATTGATGAGAATACGCTCTGTAGTAGCGAAAAGTAACAAGTGCTTGAAAAATTCGTCGGTCCTGTTAAGTCCTGGGTAGCTCAGTGGTTGAAGCAGTTGCCCGGATTGCGAAAGGTCGTGGGTTCGATTCCCATCTCAGGGTGCCAGGGACCAAGTGGATTTTTAAGCATTGAAATCAATCAGCCAAGAAATCAACCAATATTTTGGCAAAATATCTATATGTTATTCTTGTTTAAAAATATTATAAAATGCATTTTGTATCTGATACTCTGAGATGGGATAAGAATTTTGATTGAGAATATTTTCCAATAATGCATTGTGAATGCAAAAATTGATCAAATATAATCATCTATATGTAACCTTAAGAAATATATAATTTAAAAAAAGTATTTTTTTTTATTGCTGGCTCCGTGTTAATATTCAGTTTCCAAACAAAATAGCTTGATGGGTGGTAAATTTAAATAAGCCCTAATTCTATCTTGAATGAAATGGGTTTAGTAACAAAACAGGTATTCTCTATAACAATATTTTTATTCACATTCAAACATCGGTCATACACATACACAATAACACACTACAGGAGATTTCTATTTCCTTCTATGTCTATTAATTTTCTTTTTACTCCTATCTCCTTTGACATCTGCCGAAAGTTCTTGCTGAAGTTTTTTCAACATTTGTGGTGTGATTAGGCCCTGAAAACAATAAAAATAATACCTATTACTTTTCTTACGAAACACTTTAAAAAAAAACTATTTAATAAATATTAATAAGTCTGTCAATCAGTACGCCAGCCATAATAAGCGGCCAGCAACGAATCGACAACAGAACCTTTTAATTTCTTATTATGTTGGAAGAATACGTGCAGCATAGTCCATTATTTTGCACGTAAGTCGTCATAATTGACACCTTTGGTACAAAGTTTCACTCGCTTCTAAAATAAGTTTATAGGATATTCTACATCCAATTCCTTTTGTAATAAGACTGTCCAACCATCAGAAGATTTGCCAGTTCATTCAGATTGTGTTGCGAGGTATATTTTTTTATTTAAAATAACTGTTTCTGCGACTTCGCGAACCTTGTAAATTGAAGCCTATGTCAACCGCGTATAATCTAGTTTCCCGTAAACGATAGAATTATTAAAGTAGCTCAAGTAGTTTCGGTTTCGCTTATTCGATGCAAACATACAAACAAACAATCAAATCATTCCTCTTTTTAATACGAAATAGATGATTCTGCGTTTTCATAATATAAAAAAAAATATAACAAAATGGTAAAGAGTAAGCTCTTACACCATTTATTATAAAACGAAGACTCAAGTTAGTACTGCATTCTTCTTTATTATTGGCGTTGGTTGCCCTTTTGAATTTCGCCAGAATCCAATATTTCGCTGAGTTTATTTCATAATTTATAATACTTGGTTTCAATCATTGGCCGCCTAAAGTAAATTGACAATGACAGAAAAGAAAACGTCAAAATGAGACGTGTCGTATTAGTTTGGTCGGATAATTGTTAAAACGTGGAACTAAACATATAAATAAGACAGATTCAGTGTCCCTCTTACCTTAGCAACTAGCATTTCCGACAATTTCCCCTTCTGCTCCTCTCCCCTTGTCTGACTTAACGAACCAGATCGTGAAGACCTCTTTGTGCTACCTTTTTCTGTGATCTCTGGATCATCGTGAGGTATCTGTTCAGAGTTTCGTAACAATCTGAAAGTATATTTACAAGAGATTCATGAAATATGAATAATAACACTTATCACGTTAACATAAGGTAGACATTATTCTTAGCACATTACGTACCTGGTGATTTGGAATATCCCTTGCTGTATAACAGCATCTAACTCAGTCTCCATGTCTCTTACCAATTTTACGTCTGGAAACATATCTGGGAAACGATAGCTGAAAATAATTGATATGTTAATAAAATTATAATCACGTAAAATTATTAGCGTGATTAAAAACTACTTGTCTTATGGAGTACATCTTAAATTTGAAATAAAAATAAACGAATTTGAACATTTATACAACAGTCTTAAGCTATACAATAATTCGTAGACGTACTTCTATAACAACTTTCTATAATAGGTAGTCAATTAAATTCTTTAGAAGGTTCATTTTAATTATTATTTTTGTATATATATATTCGGTAAAGTTCCAATATTACACAGAATAAAATAGTAGAAAAATCTTTTTTCTTCTTTAAATCCAATGATAGCAGGTTGAAAAAGAAAGAAATAGGCGTGACTATAATTAACAGTTTATGATATCAGTATTAAAATTTGTATCAAATACCTAAATTAAAATATTAAAATCTGAATACAAATTTTTCCTGTATGTTCCGCAATAATTTCATCTAAAGTGACTTATATCGATAAACATCTCAAAGGGTTTGAAATTTGCCAAAATTTGCGTCGGCAGTTTATGTTAAGTAAAGCAAAAATTCTTAGTCATGCCACGATTGTAACTAAAGATACTTAAACACTAACTTTTTCCCGCGAATTCGCCTAAAACGCCGTAAATTATAGCCTATGACTACCCATATGATATGCATATGATGTCGCTTCCCGTAGGTAAAAGAATTTATGAAATCAGTCCAGTAGCTTTTGGGCCTATTCAATGCAAACAATCAACTCTTGCCTCTTCATAATATTAGTGTACAGCAGCCTTTCCCAAAGGCGATAACGCCCCCTTGTAGGCGCTGCAGGCCTTAAGGGTAAGTAAGAGCAGTGGCGTAGCTACCAAGGGGCTAGGCGGGGAAGCGCCCCGGGGCCCTCAAGCTCAGGGGGCCTTCGAATCTTTACCAGAAAATCTCAATCGAACTCAACTTTTGAAAATTTCTCCCATTTTCAAAATAAATATGACACGTGACAACTCGAGTTGAATCATGGCAACTCAATTTGTGAGAAAGGAAATTCCCCTTAATTATTTGTGTGGGTTGACAGTGTTATTAATGTTTTCATCAATTTGTCGGATATCAATATCTGCATATTATTATTTATCGATATGCGTTTTAGATTTTTTTTCGAGAATGTTTAAAAGGTTAATGTATCAGGAGTAAGTAAGCGTATGTCAATAATTTTTTTAAACTGGTCCATACGAAAGTTCAATTTTATTTGATTATAGTACGTATACATAGTTACTTAAAGAAATTTATAGATTTCGGCTTCTCAATATAACTCAAAATACCGTTAAATTCAAGTCAAATGCGGTAGGGGGCCGTCCATTAATTACGTGATGTTTTTTTGTCATTTTGGTAACATTGGCGGCGATAAAATGTTTGCCGGGAATTCCCCAACGACGTCTTGTATCGTATCATTACGTTTCGCTTTCCTTTTACTTGTATAATAAATTAGAATTATAGACAAAAAAGAAGAAACCCGGTGGTGCTTTTAAACGCAAACAACGGCAACAAAGAGAATAAAGTAAACAAAAATTGGCCAAAATTGTCAAGTTTTTAGTCAGCCTTCTGCAAGTACTTCTAGAGAAAATATTTCTATTGATAATTTTTGTAAATAGCTTGCATGGTGATAGGTTAAATAACAGTAAGCTGGTGCAACGTATCTATGAATAAATAAATATATAATAAACCCTTGAATCTTTTCTATTTCGTTTTATTGCCCAATACCTACACCAAGTATAAAAATAATTGATTTTATTTCAAAAAACCTTACCAGTTTTGATAGCAGTGGGCCTCATTTTTTTATTTGCCCCAGGGCCCTAGGTTACCTAGCTACGCCACTGGGTAAGAAACCGGTAAGAGACCGAGAAAAAAATGGGGGCATTGTGTAGAGGCTTGGATGGATGGGGGTAGATGATTTGTAATTTTATTTAGCTAAAATGGGGGCGCTAAAAATCGTTTATTCTCAAAGTGGGCAGTAGGCAAAATAAGTTTGGGAGCCCCTGGTGTAAATAAACATTTTTATCTGCAAAGTATTTAGTAAAAAGCATTTACCTAGTCCTTACTACAAATTACCTTACCTAAGCCACAGGTAAAGCTCTAGCACGTCGAATACAGACTCTAAATGGACGAGATCCATTATAGTTTTAGGTGAGGGTAGTGGCCACTCTATCGCATTGCACAGCCAAGTTCTTGTTATAGGCTCATTGCGACTGTACTGGCGGACCATCTGAAGCAAATAATGACATTACGGCGTCACAAAATCAAACACTATTGCCATAAGATAAAGTTCAATTTCGATTATGAAATGACAGTGCAGTATTTATTCCCAACTCAGAAAGATGAGGATGAACATTTGGGAACTTAGGGAAAAAAGAAATTCTAATTAGTCCGTTAAGCAGATAATAGGAAAATACTACATACGTATTTTCTTTTTGCTTCAGTTTAAAAAGAAATGGCTAAGTTAATATACATTAAAATATAGGAGTGGGGGGCTCGCTACGTGCGCTATGTAGAGAATGTACAAAGGTGTGACATCATGCGATATTTCACCTCAATATATCGTCGTAACTTTTTAATAACGCATAAAATAAAATAAAATACTTGTATACTTATAATATACTTCGTTATTCTCCCCGACAGAGAAACAAAAAAAAATGTCATCATACCTATTGCAAATCAAACAATAACTACAGCGTTTCGGGTTCTACCTTTTAGATTCTATTAAACATTCACCATTATCAAAAACTATGTACATATTGAGAAACATTAAGATAAAACAATAACAAGTGTAATATTATTATAAAATATTGATAAGCAAGTACACATTAAGAGTTAGATAACTTGTGTACACTTATTTATTTCTTATCACTTAATCAGAAAATTGAACAAAGTTGCATTCTTGTTAGAGATAATTACGTTTTGTTCCCTTCCGAGGATAAGTACATTAATAAATTCAACGTAATTGATACTACCAGAATTTTGTTATACTGTCTGCATTATACATATATATAAAAGTTCCTCTAGAACACTGAGAAAAACCGCATTAAAATCTGTTGTGTACTATAAAAGCTTTCAGCGCACAGACAGCGGGAAGTGACTTTGGTTTATACTATGTATAGATATATATATAGAAAATATATCAGTTGACATAATTTGTAAATAACACAAAAAATATTTTTATCGTAAAATAAAACACTATTCAGTTATGTCGTCGAATTCCAGTCGACCTGTCAGAAACACAATCTGTCTGATCTTATTTCAAAACGAGGACTAACTTTAGTACCAGCTTTAAATCATTATCCAAAGTAAGTCAACACCAAAAATTTGAAGTTTGCTTTTCTTTTTTTTTGTTTTACCTAATATGTTAAAATTCAAAACTATAATATTTTTGTTATCTTCTCTTTACGTGTAAAGGCCACCAACTTGACATTGACTTGTGTAAACGCCAATACGCCTTAATGAATAAAAAAAAAGGTTTAAACCAAGTACTAACTTTAGTCCTCTTTTATGATACAACGGGTATTTATTTATTTCTTGTACCTTGAGGAATGTAGCGCAAACGAATGGGAACTTATTGTTGATTGGTGCACAGCAAAACACATAGCGGGCGCGTAACGGAAGAGGAACGTGTTGAATCATCTCGGCGAGAAACTTGAACGCTTCAGTATTACACATGAAGTATAACGAGTCGTCGACTGTGCACAGGTGCACGAATATATCCTGGAAAGGAATTTGTATGACACACTAACACTCATATCTATAGTAAAGAATAGTAATTACTTGAGAATGTCATCATAAAATAACCAGATATTTTTATCAAAAAAAAAAGACGAATTAAAATGAGGTAAGAACTGTTAATAATTATAATACTATTACTATTAGCTATAAACAAGTCTTACTTCATTTAAATTATCGTCTATTGGTTAAAAATAATTGCTTAAGTTATGACATTTTTATCAAGTAATTACTTATCTCGACTATATGTACGACCACAGAACATAGAGAGAGATTAGAAGTATAATGATATTAATTTAGTATGGGAACCGAGTGTCGCCTCTCCGCACACAAATGCAGATTAGATGAAATGATCATTTTGTTCACTACATGAAAAACCGCCACGCGATAGGTTCGCGATAACATAAATCAAATCCCAAAAAGATACTAAGCTAAGAAATCACACGATTAAAAACAAACTCTAATTCAACGTGATAATAAATAATTTACTTTAACATGAATGTTGAACTGTCACGTGGCTGTATATGGGGATACCAGAAGGAAAAAAATATTTTAAGATTATGCACATTTTAAAAAATTGGGGTCATCATTTTATGTGCGAACTATTAATATTAGATTTTGCTGTAACCAAGTGAATACTGAAAAATTAAGGCTTTTCCTTACATAATTTATTAAAATATCTTTTAAAAAACGCAGTACAAAAACTAAGAAAACTTAATGATACACTCTATCGTATGTCTGTGGAGTAATATAATTAAGCGAGGGAAAGTGTAAAAAAAACAAAAATTAAGAAAACAACAGAATTTTTGTATTAATTACATTAAGCCTAATTTGTATTTTTTTCTTACTGGTATCATTCCGATTGTGCATATTAGTGATGTGACATATTAGTTGATAAAATAAGAGCTTTAAATTTTGTTATGAAACAGTTCAATGTAATTCAGTTCGACAATTTTCTACAGTGGTTTGATAGTAATTATTTAAAGCTTTATTCAAATAAAACGAAATACATAAAGTTTGCGTTACCTAATGTGAGGCATGTTAATATACCGCACCCCCGGTGCGACACTGTCACTTTTGCAAAAAATACAAAAATTAGTTAAATATGTAATAATTGTCCTAAAGCCCCCTTTACTTGGTGCGATAATGTTACTTTTGTAGATGAATCATACGGAACTGTGTTCCGTATGATTCATCTCATCTGTATCTTCTAAAGTCATTGTTTTGTGATGTGGCAGAGTTTAAAACTCTTCTCCTGAAAAACTAAATTTTTGCATAAGTGACAGTGTCGCACCGGGAGTGCGATACTTATAAATGTAAATAGTGAAAAAGTTGAAATGGTGGAATCGACAGAGTTCCTTGGTATTTTGGTATATTGATAATTTGTCAAGTAGACTGAGTTCTGCAGCATTTGCTGTTAAGAAAATTAGACTCTTAACAAATGTTGAAACGGCAAGATTGGTATATTTTAGTTATTTTCATAGTGTAATGAATGACGTATAATCTATCGTTATGGGGTTCTGCGGCTAGCATTCAAGATATTTTTATTCTACAAAAGAGAGCTGTCCACGCTATATATAATTTACGGTCTAGAGAATCTCTCAGAGAAATATTTAAAGAAATAAATATTTTGACTGTTGCCTCTCAATACATCAATGAAAATATTATGTACGCAAGAAAACATTACGATTCCTTCACAAAAAAAAGTAGAAATAAAAATAAACTTGCCATTCCAAGTGCTTGTAATAGCCTTCTTGAATAAAGATATTTTCATTTCATTTCGTAATAACTAATATGATCATTACACTAATAAATTGATCACAGCCATGTTTGTTTTACTTTATTATTCTAAGTTTTATATCTGTAATAATAGTAGTAGCTACATTATTAATTGCAACGACTGGACAATAAGGAATCGCTGGTCAAGTATGAGTTTGAAAGCCGTGACAAAAAAAGTTTGAAGATAGACACAAAAGCGATAAGTACGTACAAACGTCAATCTACATATAAAGTCACATCCGTTTGAGACATGCGTCTATAAACTTATGTGCAAATATGGAGCAACAAAAAAACTGATAAAAGCTGTTCTGTGGGCGGTTCTTTAAAGTGACTTTCTTAACTCGATTTCTATAATAATAGTTTCCGATTATGAATCAGCAGAATAAGGTAAATTAAATTGACGCCTAAAAATTAATTTTGTAAATTAAATTCACACCACCAACAATATTACGTTAGTTGAAAACATAATTTTTTGTTTGTATAGATATTATGTTGTTTTGAAATTCATTTGATAGGTTTAGGTCTAAAACAGATAGGGCAAAATTAATTATGTAAACAAGGCAATCCGTTGTAAAGTTATTAGGGAAACTGAAATATAAGTAATGCAAAATAAGTGAAATCCAGTTTCACCAGTTTCTAACAAGACCTATTAGGCCAACTCTTACCTTTTCACGAAGTTTCGTTTAATTTATGTATTGTTCATAAAACGGTGATATACTTCGTAACTTAGATATTTATAGCACATCAGTAATTTTTAATATTTATCTGCGTGTAAATAATTAACCGAATCTTCGTATTAAAAGTGCCTGGACAGTTCATTATTTCATTTGTTCAGTATCAGTTCATCTATAATTTACCCTTGTAAACAGTATTTTTTAGTTTTATATAATTATGGCATATATTTATCGATAACGTTGTTATGAAATGATGAAAGAAAAGCTCTAAATAAATATGTTTTAGTTATCGATTACGATCCATATAATTAACAATACGATTCCGAGCAGCAGCAGCCTATCGGTACATTTCAGACAAATGGAGGCACAGCACTATTTTTTGCAAAAGTGCACAAAATGATTTACATTGCTGTTTAGTAATGGGGTCAGAAACATTGATGTTGGTTTGAGCAATCAATGTATATTTTATTTAACATTGTGTCAAATTTTTACGTTTTTTATATTTTAGCACTAAAATTGTACTTACCAGTGAAAGGAAATGTTTGCATTAGTTAGATTGTATACTTTGTTTTGCTTTTTGCAAGTGATAATAGCACAAAACGGCATTTTTTATAAAAAAAATCTATAAAATCACCACTCGACGATTGACGAACGACTGGCAAACATAAAACCGAGGAAAGGGCGTCATATGAGTAAAAGCGCATATGCCAGCGACGCGTGCCCCGCCCACTTACTACTTCTATTCTCTCTCTATGTTCTGTGTGTACGACTGTATATTATAACTCGTACGAATGAACATGACACCTGAGAGCCTAATTCATTTGTTTTTGAATAAAAATTAGAAAAATCTCGAATCGTTCTTATAATTTTGTAAAATTCATATTCGTGAAGAATATCTGTGCATTAGAGGCAGTGTAACTCCTGCCTCTGTTGCATCATAAATTAATCTAAAATGCGTTTCTTTGAGTTGAGTCGTATTAGCATTTCGAAAATATGTCGCTACGGTACTTTCTTGATTTCTCCATGACAACCCTTCCGGTTTTCTTTCATGTATAAAAGGGAATATATTTTCAAAATTCAACAAACATACTCTATTTGTAATTTTTTGTATTTGTATTGATACTCGTGTCTAAGTTTTCGAAGTTTGCAAATTTCAGATCTTTAATATGTTAGTTATAAAGGAAGGGAAATGACTATTCATTGATCCATTTCGTTTCCTGCGGAAATCAACTTTTGCTAGAGTCGCCATCTAGTGAGGTTATTTTTAAGTGCTTTCATTTTTTAAATACTTCCTCATAGAGGTTTTGGTCACTTGAGAAAGTATTTAGTTTCAAACAAATCGATGTATAATTCAATCTTTTAATAAATCTATTTTACTAAACAAAATTAAAATTCCTTAGAAGTGTTCAAAATTATTATCCAAGCCAAACCAGATGCGAACATGTTACAGTAGCAAAACTTAGAACCCCTACTTAGGATCGCAGACTCATCAGTTTTAGGGTTCCATACCCAAAGGGCTAAAACGGAACCCTACTACTGAGACTTCGTTGTCTGTCTGTCCGTCCGTGTGTCACCAGACTGTGTCACAGCAACCGTGAAAGTTAGACGGTTGAAATTTAAAAGAAAAAATGCTTACAGCAAGAAATACTAAAAACGAAAATAAAAGGCTCCCATACAAAGAAACATATTGTTTTTTGCTGTCAGCTTTTTTGCTATCTCATGAAACGTGATAGACAGTTGAAATCTTCACAGATGGTGTATTTCTGTTGCCGCTATAACAACAAATACTATTACATAAAATAAAATAAATATTTAAGGGGGCTCCAATACAACAAACGTGATTTTTTGCTCGTTTTCGGTACAGAACCCTTCGTGAGCAAGTCCCACTATATAATAAACAACCTAATATCAAACACTTACCATTAAACTACTGAGACTCGCATGAGGTAGATGGTAGGCGTACAGTTCCATCTGTTCCGCTGTTGGATGTAAGCCGGCTTGCGTCACGGGCTCTGGGGGTTTGGACAGGAGGGTCTTCAGTGTTGCCAGATCTTCAGACTTGTATGTGGTCACGTAGCCGGTTTCCCAAGCGCTGCCGTAACGGCCAGCTCGCCCTGCACAAGTTAATCTATGAAGAGTTTGACTATAAAACAAGGGAATCGCAAAATTTAATTTTTTATTACACAACAAAAAGTCGACCATTTGCAAGTCGGGCTCGCGCACGATGGGTTCCGTACCATTATCCATAAAAAAAAGTAAAAACAATCAAGTTTGTTGTCTTCTGGGTAGTTGTTCGAAATTTTTGAGATAAATAATGTGGTTCTCGAAACTTTACCACTTTGTTAGCGTAATTAACGTGTATTGTAACAGTGTGCCATATCACCGTATATTTTGTCCTAGGTTTCAACATGCAAACTTTTTGTCCTTGATATTCAACATCATTTCTTTTTATTATTCACCTTTCGTAATTTAGAATTTTAAACTAATCAAATATACTCTTTATGGATGTCAGTTCGTAAAAAATTCTTCTGTTGTGAATACTGTACATCGTATAAATTTAAATATAAAAATTATATTAATAAAGATATGTTATTAAAATAAAATTATACATTAAATAAAATAAAAGTATATCCTGAAGCTTGGACGATACAAGATTTTATTAAGAAACCCAAAAAGGGGTATGTATTCGTTTTATTTGGTTATTTTAAATTTTATATTTAGTTTAACATACAAACTGTTTTTATATTCATTGTTTGTTTTTTAGTTTCTTTTCTTTGCCATTTATACCACAAAATAAATACTTTCTCAAGCTAGTCAGCCTTTTATTATTTGCCCAAGCATCGAATCCATCACAGTATATTTATAACAAATTACAACTTTCTAGTGCCAATAGTTTTTGGGATAAACAGCGGACCGACGGACAGGCGGACATGGGGAAACTATAAAGTTTCCTTGCTTACTACAAAACCCTAAAAATCAAACGTGATTCTTGACATTAAATTTATAAAGAATATTTTTTTATAGTTAATTCAGTCAAATAGGGAAGACTGGCTACAGTTGAGATAGTTGATTTGATTGAGAGAATGCTTATAATTTGTAAAATATTAGCGCTGTGCTAAGAGTACCAAAGTAAGAGAGCGTTAATTAAATCCGTGCATTATGCATCTCTCTTGCCTTGGAACTCTTGTCATATTTATATCGCTAATATTTTAAAAATTATAGCGTTGCCTCAACAGTCCGTACCCTGTATGGTCCGTGTCCTGTATGGACCGTACCCAGTCTCCCCTTATGGTAGTTTCTTTTTTGTTTCTTACCGGCAATCTGTAGGGCTTGTGATATACTAATAACATCCATTTCTTTGTCACCATCTTCATTTATCACTGGTTTTATTAATGAATAAAATATTATCCTTTGTATACTCCTATAATATAAAAAACACATCATTAGAATTACAGTTTTTACGAGACTGCTATTATGTACCCTGTTTTATTGAGTTCGCGATCACGTAGTAACTTCATGTAAAAGGTACACGGTAATTCCGTAAAAAACTATTATTCTAACGTAAATGACTATGAAAACTTAAAATAACATAAAATACATATCGCTTTGATTTCTAAAAAAGCAGTCAATCCAAGGCAATGCCTATACTAAGCTAGTAAGAAAACAATTACTTACAAGTTAATTCCAAGACCAATAGCGTCAGTGGCCACCATAATTTTACATGAACTGTCTGGGTCATTGAATTTATTCGCCTGTGCCAATTTCGTGCCAGGCGGTAAACTTCCATAAATGACAGCCACCTCGTGACCTCTGAAATGGCAGTCTGTTTAAAGTTCAATAATTATTATTAACGTGCAATACTCGAAAATATATTTCAAGGACATAACAGAAGCTTTTGTCTATTTTTTGAAAACAATGTCTTTACTGGCAGTTTTGTTTTATATGGCAAAATTAAGAACATCCTCTTAAAAAGCAAACGAGATTACTGCAATATCCAACTAGCGTTTACCACCATATCAATATTAATTTTGTTTTATTTTTCTCTTAAATAGGTCATATTACTGCAATTCTCTGTAGCCAGGTTGCACCACATATAGTAAAGAATTTTCTTTTTTATAAATATTAAACGTCATTTAAAAGTGAGCAAAGAGTAAAGTAACAGAATTCTAAATTAGAAAGAGTGTCATCATTAGCATCAGCGCTTTTACGTCCCCACTGCAGGGGCACAGGCCTTCCTTATGGATGGTTATCTGAGGATGGGCCATGACCCTCCACACTGGCCATGGATTAGATATTAACGACTGCAAATGCAGTCGGAATCAATGGCTTAACGTGCCTTCCGAAGCACGGAGCTATCGAGATAACTCTGCAGCATATGCCGTAATGAAGATAAGTAGGTTATCTAACATTGATACTACCAGATTAGTATACTTCAATTACTTTCATAGTGTAATGTCGTACGGAATCCTATTGTGGGGAAATGCTGCCGACATACAAATGATTGTTGTGTTTCAGAAAAGAGCAATTAGATCAATTTATAATCTTAGGATTAGGGACTCTTTAAGGAAGAAATTTAAGGAAATAGATATAATGACTGTTGCTTCTTAATACATATACGAGAACTTAATGTACGTTCGTAAAAATATTAGTTTGTTTTCTATAAAAGGTAATGTACACAATTTTAATACAAGAAATAAATATAAATTAACGGTGCCTGTCACTAGACCGCAAAAATTAATAACTCATTCAGGGGTCTTTGTGTGCGCTTCTACAATAAGGCCCCAAGCAAAGTACAACAATCAGATATCATAATGTTTAAATCTACTATTAAAAAATTACTTATTAAAAAGTTTATTATAAGGTATTCGATTACATAACTGATAAGAATGCTTACACTTAAGATGGTCCAGCAACTGGATAGGTGGTTTCTTCTAAGCCCATAATATCGCAAAAATTATATTGTTATCATTATTATTAAATTATAATGTTATCATTATAAGAGATAGTTTTTTTTCTCTCTCTATTTATAAGGTATTGATCTGGTAATGACATGGTTTTTTGTAAATGTCAATAATCCCATTAGAGCTGGTGAGTTTCTTGCTCGTTCTTCTTATCAGCCAAAAGACTCCCTGAACGAGTGGTAGGAAAAAAATGTAGGACAATTCAAAAATACTTTTACGAAGTCTATTTGAATAAATTATTTTGACTTTGAATTTAATTTTGTTTGACCGAGCTTTGTGAAGGTTGCTTATCAACAACGATCGCGGGCCGCGACGCTTATGCCACCGAGCTATGCAAAAAGAGTTTAATTTTATCCAATTATACACCATCACTGCATATTTGGATGTGAAACGTAAGGGAATCATACATTTCAAAAAAAAATTTTGGAAAATATTTGCTGTTGTTTGTTTACCACATGTTCTATCTAGTGCTGTCACCTACGGCCAGCTCTGCGTAATATTCCCTATTTATGGAAGTCTGTATTTTTTTATTACAATATAATCAATGTCTATTGTAAAACTGTAGTTTAACAATAATGTTCAACTGCAAATAAAGACTCAGAGGCGGTCTCCGAGTGAGTAGCCAGTTAACATATAGACTCACAATACCAGATTTATAGAAACTGCTAAAGATATTTTTGATAAAACGCAAAAATTTTCTTACAGAATAATTGATTTCATTCAAAGAATAATTATTAATTTTAATTAATAAAAAAAGGAGAGTATCGTATGATTATCATAATTGTCGCTTGAGATTCCCCAAAGACCGCCCCCTTAAAGACTAACTTGTCTAACATTGGATACCTGCCTCAACATGGGACTGACCTCTGTTCAATGGCTCGACTTACACTGTAAATGTCATTCTTATTGAAACACACAATGCAATCGCCCGGTTTCACATGGTCTAGTGAACCTAATGCTGAATCTTCAACTTTTAACTCTGTCAGCCTTTTATAGGAACGAACCTGGAATCAATAGTTCAATACAGGTGTTCAAATATAAATTTATTAATTCTATATCGCGGTAAAGTCTTGCGAATACCGAACATTTATGCGGGACATTAAATTGAGGTACTTTGAAACTACAAAAATCTCAGACAAAAAATTTTTCTATTATGTAAAAAAAAATATATGTCTGAGGTTTGTAATAGTCAACGGATCAATGTATATACTTGTCAAAAGTTGCACTAACAAATCTTTTGAACGGTCAGTTTTATTTTTTACCACCCAAACAAATGTTAACACAAAACGAACGCAGACTATAGTAGGTAATTAATTCGTTATTCTAAATTATTTTTAGTATGCATATATCAATATATAAGGTTTTTTAAAGATTGCAGATTTCTGCAATCCACTTTAAGCACTACTTTAATTGCATTAAGTGTCAAAATCAATTAGAGAAATGTAATAGTTTTAAAATGTTATAATTTTTTTTGTGGACCATAATAATATTAGCATTTTCTATAGAAATTATAAAAAAAAATATCATAAGAACCTACCTCCAATTCTTCTCCTGTTGTATTACATATTTGCTCTATGAGATTTATTGCACCAGCTTCCCCACATAAATGGAGTTCCTCCGCTTGGAGTCCTTATTAAAACGATTTATATTAGAGTAATAATTATTTACGGGACTGAGATTCTGTATCTTAATTTTTATCAACTCTTCTTCCTCCGCAAACAAAGCGTCGAAATATCGGGAGTATTGATAAAAATAATGTGCACGGTGGCAATACTGTAGCCCATTGATCACGTGATGTTTTTTCAGCATTTTTAAACCCGCTCCCCCTTGTTGATACATGGTGAGGTTTAACACTAACGCCACGCCACCCCCCCCCCCTCCACCTAAATCACGTGTATTTTTAGTACCTACACAAAAGTTTAATTTGGCGCCGCTTTTCAGTTTAGTAATCGCGCGGTTGAGGAAAAGATAAATACACGTGATATATAAACTACATGCCCCTCGCCCCTTGTGATATTTCATGTTTTTTTACGAACCCCCTCCCCCTCTTTCGAACCTCACGTGATTAATGGACGGCCCCTAAAGCGCTAGCTTCTCTGACCGCGACCGACGATATCCCGATGCTATTGTAGAGATGCATGTCAGTTTGAAAATGATAATTTTAAAAGAAAAATGACGAATTGTTATTTATTAAATTAATACTTGTTAAAGTATGTATGTAATAGTATCTTGTGTTATATATCACATAAGAATAATAAAAATATATTTCAAAAAAGTATGGGAATATATTAGTTAAATAATGATTATTCCTAGTAAATATTTGATTTATCTATTTTAACCTTAAATTCGTATTGAAAATTAAACAAAATCGGTTTCGCAATTCACAACAGCGTTCAAAATCGTACCTGATAGCGACTAACAGAGGACCCATGCGCCTACGCGTCGTCCACGCGTCGTCGGTTGCTTGCGGTGGGCCAGAGAAACCAGTGCCTTTTTAACTATTATTCTCTAACAATTAGCTATATATTTTTTTCGTAAAAGGAATTAATAATAGTGTGAAATTAATATTCATCGTTTTAAAAAAGTTCATTAATATTTACCAAGAATTGCTCTTGTCCACGCCCATCCTCTACCTCTGTCGCCGATCATTTGGATTTCGTCTATAATAGCTACCTCATCTGTCATAAAAGCAAATTTAATTTTATTAAATTATCCAATATTACCAACCCGCTTTGCATATTCAATTCTTGTTAGTTAATATAATAGGCTGGAGAAAATGTTCTTCGCATTGTATATGAAAATTCTAAACATTTTTTAATAAAGTTTATTTACATTTAACTTAAGTATGTAGGTACTATTTTGTTCGATAACTTTTTGCCATCTTGTAGGTAGGTGATGATCCCTACCTACGAAATTGCTTTAGAAATTTTAGGGCGTATGACGAAAAAACCGCGACGATTGGCTTTGCGGTCCTCGCGTAATGTTTTTGCTGATTAGTAAAAGATGTGTGAGGTCAAGCCCGCTTTCTGTCAACTTCTTGTTTTAATCTCATCAATTGTTCGCAGTAGAGTTCAAAATTGATGGCGGTAACAGCTTATAATGAATAATGCCTTTCCAATCCCACCATACACACAGCATACACCTTGTTTCGAGTTAACCCGGGTTTTGCCACAGTCTGTGAAGCCTAACCGACCTTTCACCACGACTTTTTCACACGTTCTTGTCTTACGCGATCGCCTTTCTTTGATCTGCTTCTTCAAAAATGGTTCGGTTTCATTACGCCGTAATAGATACAAGTAGGTTTCTCTTGGTGAGCTCGTGAGGTACTCAAATATCCAAGTTTTTTTGTCAACCCAGATTTTTTCAAAACTGTTTTGTGGTTATCCTCAGTTCTTCAACTACTGATATGACAATCTTGCTCCACTTTTTCAAAAATAGCATCCATTTTATCTGTAACGGGGCGACCGGAGCGACGTGCATCTTTGACAAGAAAATTTCCAGACTAAAAACGCTTAAATTTGGTTTGAGCTACTCATTTTGACAGTAATTAATACAAATTTTATTACAAGTTTAGGCATACTATATGCGAAAAGACTTTTCCCCAACCTAAAAGTTTTAAAAGAAAAATACTTTGTATAATTACTTATGTCAAATATGTAACATAATCGATAACAGAGATGAGAATAAAAAACATAATTTTAATTTTATTTTAGCTTTACATTTGTGATATAAGAAAGACAAAAGACAATGATTTTCACTTACATTTATTATTAAGAGAAGTCATTTCAACTGTGCAAGCCACATGACTAGAAGGTGTGAACTCACTTTCATCAGTCATAATAGATTCAGATTCTATTTCTGTGTTGAAATCTTCAGAACCATCAGCAATGGCTGCACATTGAGAAGAATGTCTCCTTTCCTCACCAGTAATTAAATCACAAGGTACACCCTATTTAAATAAAGTTGAACAAAAATTAAGAAATACCTATATTTACTTATGAAACAATTGCAGATGAAAGATGCAGATCATCATAGAAGTGGGCAAAATGTCAGACCATTTACCAACACCATTTTGTAAACAATACTTACGTAGCACTGCTATGCCTACCTGTATTGATATAAGAGAAATCTTATTGAAAGTTTTAAATGTCAAGATTCAATTAAAGGGCTACCTGTATAATAGAACAACATAAATATAAAAAATAATTCATATTCACTTTTTATATTTTGTTCTATGAAACTATTTATACATTTTAAGCGGCATCATTATATAGCTTTAATTGTATTTTAACATGTTAGATCACAGTAAAAATAATTAACTTTCAATAAAAAATCTTAGGCTTTAATGATGGCGATGGTAGTAATACTAATGCTTTTTTCTTTCTTATATTTTTTTCTAATTTAAACAAATATAGCTGTGACTTTCAATGAGCTTGTTTAAATGAATGAAATTAATTTATTATTATCTATTTATTTTTTAATCTATACAAGCTTAATAGTATATATTTTAGTTCTTTTATTTATTTATTTCTCTGTTCTATTATTAATTTATTTGTAAATAATACTTGAGTTTTAATTGGGGTAAAAATGGTGTTTTCACCCATTCATCACTACCACACACATACTGTTGAGTGGTTACATCTGGTTTTCCATTTTGTATTTTACTTTTCTTTTTCAATTATTACCTCTATACTTTTTTAATTGATCCAGTAGCTTCAGAGCATATTCAAATGATATCTTTCTTCTTTAGAATATAAATAAGTATAGATTGAGCACTATGTACAAAGATAAAATAAAACATTGACATAACCAACCTTTTTATTCGATTTATGATATATTTCAGTAGCTAATAATTTAAGAGGCCCACAGTAAACACCAGATTTTGCTTCTAAATATCTTTCCATAGCATGATAGGTCTTCCCTGAATTTGTAGGGCCTGCATGAAATATTACCTTCCTATTTATACTTCTAGCTTCAGGATACCTAAAATTCCAGGGAATAAAATGATAGAATACAGATTAACAATTAATAGAGTATCTAGAATATAGGCAGAATATTGAACAAAGTAAAATCGTGCTCTAACTAGATTATAATAGAAAATTACCAATTAGCAGGTGTTCGAAGATCAGAAATTTTCTTTAAATCATCCAAACAATCTAAATGTGGGAATGCTAAACGAGCATGACGTAAGAAATATGGGAACAAATCATCAACATGCCCAGCACCTACAAACCAAGAAAGTAATGAATGGTGTTGCATAATTGTACATAATAAACATTTTAATCGTGGTTTTATTTTTTATCTATACCTTGTAATATATCACTAATTGTTATATGCAAATCTGGAGGTAAATCGTGTTCCAAACAATGTCTTCTAAAAGACAAAAACGCTTGATGTAATAACTGGTCGTCTAAACCATTTTCTGATGCCAAAACTCTCACTTCTGGTTTCTGGTAAAATCTATTAAGAATCTTAAGCATATCTTGTTTTTTTAGACGTCCAGTAAACTCTTCGCCTATGTTGATGTCGTCAGGATTAGGCTTTACAGGCACCGGCACAAATAAGGCCGAAGGATTACCGCGATCATGTTTTTTAGTTCTCAAGAAAACATAACCTATACTGCCTAATTTTCCTTTTCGTGTACACAGCACTGTACTTCGAAGACAAGGTGAAATACATGATTGTAATCTGTCTGAATGAGTTAATATTCGCGCAAAGCCTTTATACATGTTGAAAAAAAAATTATTTATATCTACTAAGAATTTAAAAATTCAAATGACAATAGCATTTCTTACTTCTCAGCTTGTCATTTATGACATTGACACTAGAGATATGTATGTATATCATTAAAACGTTATATGAACCCATAAAAATATTATTATATACCGATACCGACACTTATAAAACTTAATGTCAAATGAAATCCAAAAAGTAAATATAAATCGATTGTCCACTTTAATCCATCCATCGACAAATTTTTACATATGTCATTTGTGAACTACTAAAAATATTCCCCGTTGTATTTAAGAATTAAGATAGAATCCGAAGCTTTGCTTTGAAAGGAGATAATTCACCATCCATACATATATTACCTAAGAAATGAAAATATTTACACCACAATACAATCAAATTTGGATTCCTTTATCAATTTATTATTCAATCGTAAGGGCGCTTGTGCACTACACTTGATTTTTCAGGTCCGGCGGTCCAATTTTTTCCGGTCCGGTATGACATGAAAAACCCGGATGAGTAGCTTGTGTACTTGTCCGTTTTTTTCCTGATTGGAGCGGCGCAGGGTAGGGCAGCTCTCTTTGAAACTACACGTCACTTACGCTAGGTACGATGAGATTTTTGGAACGTCGGTAATTGCGTTCGAAGACGTAGAAAGGTACCTAAATAATGACCTGATCATTTTACATAAACCATAATAATTATGGAAAGCATTTTTTTTACTACTAACGGATGACTACTATCAGATGTAAAAACTTATACCCTTACTAATTTAGGAACAGCATTCACATACAATAGCTAAAAATATCTGTGACATTAGAATAAAATTACTGATAATGGTCTAGTACTTGATGTTTAAATTTATAAACGTGCTATTTTTTTCGAAGTTTTGTAAAAACAACTTTTAGCGATTACTTTTAGTTGATTGTATTATATATAGGCATAATTTTATACGCGTGGTGTAGTTTTTTGATCAGAAATATTTTCCCTTAAAATACTTCTTTTTTTAATTCATTTATAACACAAACAGTCATTTCAAATTTTATTACAATATAGACTTAAATGCGAAAAAGATATTGAGTATCATTTAATTACTTCTGATAATCTTGTGTTTATTCTTTATTATTACTTCTGTTATCAAATATTTATCTATACATATCAATTGTCTAAAAAAAATTTGATAATGACAAATTTCCTGGCAAACTTTCAACCCCTATTTTACGCGATAAAATGTAGCCTATGTCCTTTCTTAAAGTTACTACATTAATTTCCATTAAGATGGGTTCAGTTGTTTAGGGGTCTAAACGTAACAACACTTATTTATGTTATTGATATCGGTATAGATATTATTAGTATCGATAACGTATACTTTTAATACGATTCTAAAATCTAGCTAAGTATCGATACTAGAACCATACGCTGTTCAAATTAGAACTATACTGAGTTTGCCAAAGCATATGTAGTGATATTAACCAACTATATTAAATCATCATATAAAATAAAGGATTTTATAATCTACAATAAATATCAATTATAAGTTTATTGGAAATTAACAATATCGCCGAAATAAATATCGAATATACACAAATCGATTATTTTTTCCCAAGCTTATTCCTTATGAATTTTCCGGATCGCGGATACAGCAGTTCACAAGCGTAAACACGTTTTTCATTGCCGCCATCACGGACCTGAAAAAACCGGTCCGGAATAGAGAAAAGTAAAATCCCGGACATTTAAACTGTTGAAGATAAGTCGCTATATGTTAGATTTAATTACTGCATATTATATAAAATAATGATCAAATAAACCGCCCAATCCTGACCCCCCTGACACCCAATTCTCCCTATCCCAAAACCCACTGTCACAATTTGCCGACGTTATCTGTAGTATTACAGACATGGATGTGTCCCAAAGCACTCGAAAACGCCCCAATGCTGAAGAAACCACTACTCCTACTCCACCAAGTAAACAGCCCAAAAGCCAAATCGGTCGCGTACGATACTCGGCCGTGGATAAAGGTCCTTACATCGTGCACGTCTCTCGATTGGAAGCTACGCCAAACGCAGGCACCACGTTACATCCCGTCAATTTTGGTAAGTTTTTAATCTTTAACAAAATTGCAAATATTCGTCGTGATGGAGTAAATAAAGTTGGCAGAAACCGCGTCTCAATAGAATTTACTTCTCTCCAGGATGCAAATGCATTCCTTGTTAATAATGTTCTGTCTAAACATGGCTACTCAGCATCCATCCCTACCTTTAACATCACTCGGATGGGTGTTATTTCTGGAGTCCCCACGGATATCTCAGAAGAAGAAGCCTTATCCTTTTTGTCTGTACCTACAGGATGTGGTAAAATTCTAAAGGTCCGACGCATTAGTAGGAAAACATACAATGACGGTGTAGCCGATTGGAAACCAACAGAGACTTGCGTTATCACTTTTGATGGCCAAGTTCTACCTCCCAGAGTATACTGTTGTTACACTTCGCTCCCAGTTGTACAGTACATTTATCCGACTATACAGTGCCGTAAATGTTGTAGATTTGGACATGTGGCGAACCTATGTCGTTCAAAACCACGCTGCTGTAAGTGTGGACACGATCACCCCGGTGATGGTTGCAACATTTCTGAAGGCGAGGCTTTCTGTGTGCTTTGCTCGGGCAACCACTTTGCCAATAGCAAGTCATGCCCTGAGCTTGGCAGACGAGCTATCAAGACTATTATGGCTGAGAAGTCAATCCCATATGTGGAGGCTAGCAAAATAGTTCCGATTCCTTCCCGAAACTATGCTAATGCTACCAAAACCCAGTCATACCGCAAAACAGTCACGCTTAATCCCAAGACTCATGCCCCACTTTCCCCTTCTTATAATATAAGTACCACAATGATTTAATAAGACCTCCCCAACCCACACAGCCCAATGGCTGCGCCCTCAATCTAAATAGTACTCCACCTAACAAAGACATCTCCCTTGTTGAACTCCTTGTCAAATTATTACCTTCCCTTATCTCTTCTACTTCTAACTCTCAATCACCGTCCAACGTTGCCGATGAACTTATCAAAATTCTTTTACAAATTAAAAATGGCGCCCAGCCAAGTATTTCTACAATGGAATGTGAGGAGCGTGTTTCATAAGAAGCACGACCTCATATTCCTTCTTAACAAATACAAACCTCTTGCTTGTTCCATAGCTGAGACTTGGCTCACCCCAAGTCTTAGCTTCCGTATACCCTATTACAATGTCCTCCGATGTGACAGACCCGACGGATATGGAGGCTCGGCTCTTTTTGTTAACAATCGGGTACCACTATTGCCATTATCTATGCCTTCACTTACAGGTGACATGAGTATTGTATCTGGAAAGATGGAAGGTATCACAGTATTCTCAATATATATTGCTCATCCACAACACAACTTTTTAACTATTTTAAGAAACATACTTTCCAATGTTCAAGGTCCTGTAATGGTCATGGGTGACTTTAACTGTCATCATTATAGATGGGGATCTGAGCGTTGTGATGCGTTTGGTTCAGCTCTGGTTGAGATACTAGATGATTTGGACCTTTGTATATTAAACAATGGTTGCCCAACACGCAGGTCTCCCCCTGGTCAGCAGAGGAGTTGCGTTGACATAACATTCTGCTCTGTTGAATTAGCAGCTTCAGCTCATTGGGAATGTACAACCTTGTCGCATGGTAGTGACCATTACCCCATTGTCATTTCTTTAATTAACAGAACTTATTTAGAAAAAGCTTCACCTCCACTTTTGAAGTACAACCTGTCCAAACCAGATTGGTCTAGGTTCGCTTCATTACTGGAGGAGAAAATTGATACTCTTCCAAATTTAAATTCAAGTTTATCCGACCCTTCTGATCACCGTCATGCCAAGCATTGCTATGATGGATTTGTTGGAGCAGTTACTTCTAGTGCAGATTCTTGCTTCCCATTAAAAAATAGCGCCCGGAACAAAATCCCGTCACCTCCATGGTGGGACCAAGAATGCACGTCAGCAGTTAGGCTGAGAAACGAGTCTGAAAGACATTATAATAGGGAGATGACCGCCCAAAATCTTATGACGTACTTACAAGTTTGTGCCCGAACCAAACGTCTTCTCCGTAAGAAAAAACGTGCAGGTTGGGTGAAGTTTTGTACATCCTTGTCCCCGTCCACTCCAATTTCAGTAGTGTGGAAGAACATCAACAGATTTAGATGTGGTTGCTCACCGTCAATATCCTCACCAATTACTAGGGAAACAGCGGAATTATTTTTTGACAAAATAGCCCCACCATATGTTCCACTCGCGTCTGAATACCATAGTGCTCCTTTAAATACTATATCCACTGATCCCTTTGATGCACCATTTACTTTGAAGGAGCTGAACATGGTACTCAACCATGTCCATGACTCGGCACCTGGTAGCGATGGTGTGATATACTCCTTTATAAAACAGTCTGGAGATAAAGCTAAAGCATACTTCCTTAATATTATAAATTTCTGCTACGATCGCGGCTGGATTCCAAATCAGTGGAAACTACAAATTATTATCCCTTTGTTGAAACCAGGCAAACATGCAGATGATCCGAATGGCCTTAGACCTATTGCTCTGTCCTCAGTCTTAGCTAAACTTATGGAGCATCTTATTAAGAACCGACTTGAGTGGATAGTTGAATCCAGAGATTTACTGCCGAACCATCAATTTGGCTTTAGAAAAGGACTTAGCACAATGGACAGTGTTGGCATTTTAGTCACTGATATTCGTCTAGCATTTTCTAAAAACGAGTCTGTCGTCGCAACCTTTTTAGACATCTCATCCGCATATGATAACGTTCTTCTTCCCGTCCTCAGGCAGAAACTGCACCAGCTGAGCATCCCGGTAAAGATGATCGAATGCATATGCGAACTATTATATTGTCGCTCATTGGCTTTGAGGGTCCAGGGAGAGGAATTTGATGAACGGCTGACCTGGAAGGGTCTCCCGCAGGGCTTCGTCCTCAGCCCCATTTTGTACAATCTGTACACAGCCGAAATCGGCTCCTGTCTCAATAATAACTGCTACATCCTTCAGTATGCCGATGACTTAGTCCTGTACGTATCAGATTCTTCTATTGTTGACGCCGCATCGTCCCTATGCTTCTCTCTGGACTCTTTAAATCACTGGCTGCTA